CCCCTCCGCCCCACAGACCCTTACGACTCTCTCGCTATGCGCCACCGCATGTTCTTCGCCCTGCAGTCCCGCGACCCGCCGCACCCCTCCCTACAAAACGCCGCCGCCGCTCACGCCCACGCCCATGTGTCCGCCGCTGTGCACGCCGCGCAGCAGCAGGCCGCGCAGCAGGGCGTCTCGTTGAGTCCGCAGCAGATTCAGCAGGTGCAGAGGCGCGCATTGGCGCAGGCGCAGCAGGGGTTGGCGCAGGCACAACAGGGGGCACCGGTGGTGACGGTGGCGGCGCCGTCGTAGGCGGAAGCGTTGCTTTGCGGAATTCTAGGCGTTGGGTCGGTAGGGTCGGTGGAGGGGTCGATGTTCCGTCGTCGTATTATCTTCCAACTCACCGTATGATCTGCTGGCTATCCTATCGGACATAGAACGGGGGCGGTATTTTTTTTCTCGGGAAAAGCACCACGCACTCGGAGGACGTCTGATTCGATTCGATTCGATTTCCTCGATCGGGTAACCCTGAAACACACATCGCATCGCATCGCATCGCATCGCATCGCATACATTTGACTGTTTTAGCGAGTTTTTTTTCCTGTTTTACAGCATCTTTACTTTTCCGCATTCTCACACACGCCCTTCTCATTTGCTCTTGCTCACATCGATCCTTTTCTCGTCGCATGGACAGCCATCACTGGTATCCTGCATGCATCCCTATTGTACATTAGCATGGAAGAAGCGGCGTAGGAAGGGGGGCAGGGCAGGCAGGGGATCGGGTATGGAGTAAGTGGAGCAGTGTGGATGATTCTTTGCGTTTCCCGGTGTAAGATTTGGACGGCGCAATGGAACAGGGACAGGGAAAGAGGAAAGGGGATTGATGGAGTTTTGTCGAGAAAATCGTTGTATGATACCCCTCCCAAGGAAACGGAAAACAGAAATGTAGAACTGGGACGTACGTACTGGGTTTGTCGGTGGTGATCGGATCGTGTGATGGTGATGGTGATGGTGAGGTCGTTCGTAGACGTCCGGGGTTTCGATTGAAGGGTGTGTGTGGTACAGCCACTCGTCCGTGAAGGTCGGTCCGTCCGTGAAGCGTAAGCCATACTGCGAGCTCCTCGAGTGGCGCGGACCATACATATTGAGCTGCGATTTCTTCGCCAGGTACCCATCCTCATAGACTGAACTCCTCACTCTTCCATCGCATCATCCGTCTCCCGCCGCGCCCTCTTCCCACCCCCTCTCCCCCCCTCATCCTCACCCTTCCTCTTTCCACCCGATCCCTCCGCCTCCTCCGCCTCCTCCGCCTCCTCTACCTCCACCAAACTACAAACCTGCGCGACACCCCCCCAGCGATCCAAAATCTCCTTCTCCCCCAACCGCACCTGCACCGCCAACCTTTCCCGCTCGTCCACCGGACCATGCGTTCCCGTCCCGTCGTCCCGCAGCAGCCGTCGGTCGTCGTCGATCGTCGTGGGGTAATGCGCCAGGCGGTCCGCCGCGCAGACGCGCAGCAGCGCGAAGATCCGCTGGCGCGTCGCGGGGTCGGAGGGGATGTCGCGTGTGATGGACTTGAATTCGGGGGCAGTCATGCCGGGTTGGAGGCGCACGAGGGCGCTGAGGAGGAGGGAGAGGTCGGGGGGGAGTTGGGAGAAGTAGTCGGCGAAGGCGTCCGGGAGGAGGCGGTCGCCGTGGGGAGTGCGGGTAGTTACGACGTCGAGGAGACGGGGCATGGAGAGGTCGTAGCCGTCGGACATCAGGTCTTTCCTTTCGAGGTAGTCAACCTGCAAGTCATTTGTCAGTTTGGTGTTTTCTTTGGGTGGAGCCGAGAACTTACCAGGCCGAGGACATCCTGGTGCATCGCGGTGCCGGGGCGCAACGTGTGGAACGCCGCGATAATGACGTCGCTGGGAATTTCCACCACGTCGTGGATCGCGTAGTTATCGGTGATATAGCCGTATCGACGCAGCAGCTCGGAGCGCGGGAGCGGGCCGTAGTCGTTGAAGATCTGCTCCCCGCGGACGATCGGTTTGATCGCTTTCATCTCGAGGAAGTCCGGCTCGCTCATGAGGTTGGCGTTGTTACGGTCCGCGTCTGCGTTCAGCATGTCCGCCATCGGCACCAGCCCCTTGGGGCAATCCGCCTCGTCTGGGTCGCTGACGTACCCGTCTTCGTCGGCCTCGCCCGTCTCCGGTGAGGCTAGATCGAACGCGTACGCCATGATGGTCGAAGCGAACTGGTGCAGGAGGGCAAGGAGATGGTCGGGCATCATGGGGATGGGTTCGCCAGGCTGGACGTTGAAGAACACCTCCGCATGTTGTAGCATGAGTGGGATCATTCGCCCGAGGAAGTCCTCGTCAGCTTGCTTTTTGCCGATGCGCTGAAGTACCGTGCTGCCTCGCAGCTCCGCGAGTTCGTGGTCGGACCAGTACATGAGGGTGTTGAACTCGGTTGGGAGAATGCTGAGGTACGGGAACCACGGCGAGTCACGGCCGCGGAAGTACTCGTATGTCATCGCCAGGATCAACATGGCCCACGGTTCATCGTTAAAGTCTTCAATTACTGCTCTGTGGTCCTGAACCAGCTTCGAATTCTCCGCCGTCAGTACTAACGAGCGAGGGATCCGGAACAGCGTCTCGCCCTCCTCGATCTCCGCGGTGGCAACTATAACCAAGGAATTAGTATAAGATTGATACAAAACTTCCTCTCACTCCGGCGATCTAAGACTTGGGGGACATCAAAGACCGGTCTCTCACTTACCCACGCCCCGTCCCTCCTTGAACTGTCTCAGGTCCTGCAACTCGATCTTGTTACTGACTTCCGCCCCGCAATGGTTGAGCCACTGCAGGAAAGCGTTGGTCTTCTCGTCGAACGGCTGAGACATGGTTGTATTTCCGTACTTCAATGTCTTCTTGAAATCTATTTTTCTCGACACAAAGTTAGATTTAGAAGCGTGGAAGTGAGAGTAAGGTGAGAGAAAGAAAACACCCATCCGATTCGGGCATATGGAGACCTTGTGGGTGGCGCCAACCCCTATCAAGCTAGCGGCTGTGGCGTAGCCTTACGCCATTGGCGGATTTTGATTCGGTCATTCCAGTGATCACATAGAGAAGGTGATTGTAGTAGTCTGGTTACGGCCGGAGGTTTAAACGAGATGCATTCAAGGTCGTAATGAAAACAGTGATGGATCGATTTAACAAGTTACAACTGATGTGTCTCGATTGCTAGGCTCACTACCAATATTAGCACGAGAACCAACAAATCGAAACATTATGTAAGCAATTCTGACTGTACTACCCTAGTGGGCAGTAGAGGCACCTCACAAAGGCAGTGTGGTTAACAGGATTCTTCTAAATATGGGTGCTTAATTATACAGAGAATCCCTTATTACATCGTACGGTGCTTACTACGTTATGTCTATGCTAAGATAGGTTGAGTGGTCCTAATAAATAGCCATGTAGACGTTCATCAGGCATCACGAACCACACATTTCAATGACTCAATTGTTTTGCCAATCCGCCTGGACTAAACACCTATACTGAGTCAGTTTCATCCTTGAATTCCTGGTGATATCTCAATATCCCACTCATCTCCGCAACGTGAACCTCTACGAAACCAACCCGAACATCAAACACCCCAGCTCTACCCCATCTCCCATATTTATCATCATGATCGCCCTCGGCCTCGAAGGCTCCGCCAACAAACTCGGCATCGGCCTCATCTCCCACCCCTCCCCCACCTCCCCCCCCATCATCCTCGCCAACCTCCGCCACACCTACATCTCCCCCCCCGGCGCCGGCTTCCTCCCCAAAGACACCGCCGCCCACCACCGCGCCTGGGTCATCCGCCTCATCAAGCGCTGCCTCCAGCAATCCAGCCTCCGCCCCTCCGACATTGCCTGCATTGCCTTCACCAAAGGGCCCGGCATGGGCGCCCCGCTCACCGCCGTCGCCGTCGCCGCCCGCACCGTCGCCCTTCTCTGGGACAAGCCGCTCATCCCCGTCAACCACTGTGTCGGGCACATCGAGATGGGCCGCGCCATCACCGGCGCCGAGAACCCCGTCGTGCTGTACGTCTCCGGGGGGAACACACAGGTCATCGCGTATTCGTGCCAGCGGTACCGGATCTTCGGAGAGGCGCTGGACATCGCGGTGGGGAACTGTCTGGATCGGTTCGCGCGCACGCTGGCCATCTCGAACGATCCGGCGCCGGGATATAATATCGAGCAGTTGGCGAAGCGGGGGAAGAGGTTGTTGGATCTGCCGTATACGGTGAAGGGGATGGATGCGAGTTTTTCGGGGATTTTGGCGGCGGTGGACGCGTTGGCGGGGCGGGTGCTGGCGGAGGAGGAGAGCAAGCGGTTGCGGGACGAGGAAAGCGGGGAGTTGGTCACGGTGGAGGATCTGTGCTTTAGTCTGCAGGAGACGGTGTTTGCGATGTTGGTGGAGATCACAGAGCGGGCGATGGCGCATGTGGGGAGTCAGCAGGTGTTGATCGTCGGAGGGGTGGGATGTAACGAGCGGTTGCAGGAGATGATGGGCCTCATGGCGAAGGAACGAGGGGGGAGCGTGTATGCCACCGACGAGCGGTTCTGCATCGATAACGGCATCATGATCGCCCATGCTGGGTTGCTGGCGTTTGAGAGTGGTGTGAAGGACGGGCTAGACGACAGTACCTGCACGCAACGGTTCCGGACCGACGCCGTGCATATCAAATGGCGAGATTGAGACACGAAGCGATCCCAACGTGACGACACATCAACCGATGCCAAAAGAGATCTCAGAATGTGAGCGACTTCCATTGAGTGAAACCGAAAAGGTCCGGATCGTATCGACCACGGACCGGGAGGATATCTCCTCTGAACATTCTACAAAGGTGAGAAAGAGTTCCTTCCCATGATCTACCCCATGATCTACCCCATGCCCCTGTATTCTCAAGGGAAAAGAAGCGAAGTTCTCAACGATCCATTGATAGCATCCCGTGCAGGAAGCAAAAAATAGCGGTCCCGAAGAATCGTCCTCCCAAGCCGAGCAGCGACCCCAAAGCCCATGAAATGCCCGATGCCCCAGTTCGTTTGCGCAAACTGAAGGCAGCACCCACCTACTCCTATCCTTGGCCCGGTGATATTCCATACGAAGCCGAGTGAAAAGCAAAAACGAAGCAAAGCCGTCCCTCGCGATTACGCGTCTTGTGTCATCATGAGTCTTGGGTCGTGATCATGATCGCATCCGTGGTGAGAAGAAATCCCGTGTCTACCAACCCAGGAAGAAAGTCGTGTCGTCGGCCGTCCAAGTGAAGTGGATCATCATCGCCGGTCATGGTCCCTCGTCGGCTTGAACACGATCGTGGTTTCGAACTGCATGATCAGTCAGCATGGTCAACTAAAGCTGTGGGGGACAAACCTTTCGCTTGTATCTGGTCGTGCCGCTCGTAGCAAGCACCCCATGTCGGATACTACTGGTTGCTAGATGATTCAAGACCGTATGATTGGGCACCACCAACACCGACGCGTCATCCTTCATCGGCGTCGCGCTGTTCAAGATACTCTTGCTCAAGAACATCGGCAACGACGGCGGCGGATGCCCGTACCCTATCACCTGCGCCGCCCGCTGGAAATACGGGTCCCGTTCGTCCGTGTCGTAGTCGGCCAGGAACGTCGGGATATCAGTGTGATAGTTCTTCGGTGACGTCGGCTGGATGGACGCCGGTTTGGTCGCGTGTTCGGGCGCGGACGGCGTGATGATGGCGCCGGGGACTTTCGCGACGGGCGACACGGACTTGGGTTCTGGGGGCGGAGACAAACGCAGGGGTGGGTGGATGTTCGCTGGGACGACGTAGTCCGGCTTGGGAGTCTCGGAGCCGGGCGGCGCATCGGGAGCGGAAGGGATGTCGTCGGGCGAGACCTCGATGTAGTTGACCAGGATGTTGGTGAAGTCGACGGCGGTGGGAAGGTGGTCTGACAGGCGCATTTCGCCATCGACGATGAACTTGAGGTGGTGGGTGCCCGGTTGGAGTTGGAGCGTTGCGGAGAGAGCATTCTTATTCTTGCTGGGGCCGCTGTGATAGGGAAGTCAGCCGTGTCCTTGCGCTTCAGATAGGCAAATAAGAAATAAGTGAAATGGAGGAGTGATTTGTCGCATCTTCAGTGCACTACATGCGGGGATTCCGCAATCGCGGACTGATTGAGCGGATTGCATCGCCATCTTCGCAACCGGTGTGGCGTGTCTCGGATAGTCGCATATCGAAGCATTGGCCCCGATAACTGACTCCCACCGGTTCAAAACTACCGACAAGCAAATGCGATAATGTTCGAATGACCAAATTCACTTACTTGCGATGCAACTTGTACTTCCGGTCCCACTTCGCAAACGTCCCCGTCACGTACACCTTCTCCCCCGGTCCCGCCCACTCCAGCAGCGTCGGCACCGTCTTCTGCGGCACCCCCTCCGCGCTCTTCGGCAGCTCATCCTCGATCTCCTCCTCGTCCACCGTCGTGCTACTCAACATGCTCTCCTTCCTCGGCAGCTCGTCCACCTCCGCCGATCCAGGCTCCCTCGGCGCCAGGATCGGTGACCCAGGCATCAATACCTGCTCGTCGATCGGTAGAGGTAGGCGAGGCGGTCGACCATACTCCGCCGGCTGTAGCGGGTATGTGTCAGAGGTCGGAGGCGCCTCTGACTTGTATGCGACCCGGCTGGGTCCGATCATTGTCTCTGCCTGCGGGACGGTGACGGGGACGGGGACGGTGACGGGGCGGGCGGCGGGGGTTGGGCTGGTCGTGCTAGAGGGAATCGGCACCGGTGGAGTGACATTCGTCGCGTGTGGATGGGGTTGCTCCGGAGCTTTCGCTTTCGCTTTGGATTGATCGTTGCCCATGCTGGATCCTAGGCTTCCGGGAGCTCGATCGACGGGTCGGAGGACGGGGGTCGGGGCGGCTTGGGATCGACGAGGGGCTTGTTGAGACTGTGAGTACGAGTGCGGGAGTGTGTGCGGGAGCAATAGATGCGTTTGCGGACCTGTTGGAGAGTTCACCACTTGGGCGATTGCGCTTTCAAAGCTTGCCGATGGCGGGGCTGCGGTGGCTTTGGTGGAGGAGAGGGTGTGAATACCTTGGATGGATTCCCTCCGCCTGGGTTCCCTTGGTTCCCTTCGTGAGGTGCTCCGGCTTGGGCCTGAATGGGACGGACTGGGTTGGGTTGGCTGGTGAGATGATGTGGTCGTGGCTGGAGAAGAGGTGGGAGCCGATGGGGGAGATTGAGGAGCGCTGGCCCCCGTGGATCGAGATGGGTTATTCCCCATCTTGCGCGTGGGGGGCAATTGGGTTTAGCGATCACGGAGAGATGATCGGTGGATTGAGACGCTCGTGCTGCATGTCTATCAAGGTGTCGACATGTTGAGAGCGTGAGAGCGTGAGAGCGTGAGTGAGGGAGAAATAAGATTATATATCCCGCGTGGGTTGAACAACGACGGCGGTCTTCATGGTGTTCCGGAGCTTTCTATGAATTCCAGGCTACGAATTCTACGGGGATGCCAGGCCCCGATAGAAGTATCACTGTACATACAGGTTACCATACATAGTATCACTGTAATATTAGTATCTAGAATAGGCATCGATCGCTCCTAGCTGTCCCTCTTCTCCCCTTCCTCTTCTATGCATCAATCAATGCACGCGTTTTCTAGGATCCGACGAGCTTTCGACAACGACAAATACCAGTGATTTCCGGCCTCCCATATCCCAACCCTTTCCTTGTCCTCCAATCCGGCCCAGTCACGGACATCTTTCATCGTCTTACCGCCCTTAGCGGTGTGAATGCCTTATCATTTATTGAATGGCTTGGACGGCTGCAGCTTGCTCAATCCGATGCTCAACCTCCTCAATCCATGACAGATCTAACTGCACCCTGTTATCTTGAGGAAGTCAAATCTGTGTGGGATCACCATACATGATTCTCTATGCAATGGATTTCCGGTTTATGTCCGTCGTAACTTTCCCTTTCGTGAAACTGGGTCAACTTCTCCTGGGTCTCGTCCTCACTCTCCTCCGTCTTGCCTGGTCCATTATCTATACGATCATCCTCCCGGGCATTTATGTTGGCCAATTTGCATACCGTACAGTCCTATATCCATTCGTACTTCTAGGAAAACTCGAGGTTAGTTCTATCATTGATTTCATTCGTTAAATCCTCTGATCATGAATGTCGACCGTTCGTATTGTTCGTCGCCTGATCGTATTGTTCCTTGTGTGCATGTATGAGAACTCCGAGATTGATTTCTCAAGCAACCTCAATCCACTGGACTAACACCTTGTAATATTACTAAACCAACTCCAGGACCTCTACATCTTCTTCAGCTTCGCCGTCCTTATCGGCGCCCTTGCCGCAACAACCGCATTCTCCCTCTACCGCGGCGCCGTTCTGGTTCTAGACCTGAATCCTGAGACAGCCGTCGCCATTGAGACACCCGCACAACGCTCTATTTCAGAGTACCGCGAGGGTCGAAAACAGCGACGGAAATCCAAGTCGCCATGGGTGGATGAGTTCGAGCGGTCACGTCTTCCACCAAGCCCGCTAAGCCCTTTGAGTCCGGGAAGGTTTGAGTTTCCGGTCGGGGGAACGCTGGATCGGAAACGGGACTTGATGTCGCAGACGATATTAGAAGAGGAGGATTCATCGGGGTTTTAGCCATGGGTTGAGTCATGGGTTATCTTTTCAATCATCTGAGATGAGGAGGTTTGACTCCATGGAAGGATGGACGTCTACACAGAAGATCCCTCAGAGACGATTACTTCCTGGATCTGGCTACTCCCTAATCACCAGCCAAGACATAACCAATTGTTCTCGGTGGCCTTATCCCACATCGAGATGGCAATATTCGGCGCTGTCGACAGCAGACGAGCATCGATCCGACGATCCACTTCAAGACCATCTCCAAGCTGCCGATGCCGTTCGATAGCCTCGTGAATACTACGAAGTTCATGGAGATGATGAATTTCAAGATGACAACGCTGGGGATGATGCTGGGGATTTCGCGGTCCTGCAGGCGGTGGAGAATTAGACGCCTCGGGTGCCAGCATGACTAGGCGAAGTAAAGTGGCCCGTGAGGGGGATTACACCGACGAGCGGAGCATGAATACCATGTCAATAAGCATGCAAATGTACGAAGGCGAAGAGGCTATTACCAGCAACAGCATTCACACGATGCAGGCCGATGTCTAGAGGCAGGGACGGCGCTGAACATGTATCACAAGAATGGACGAGAAGATGCTCAAAGTCCAAGACACGGGACCCGGAAAATGTGGGAATTAAATGCTCTCTACTTACGCGGTCTACTCTAATATGAATGCTAACTATCATTCTCATGAGCTGATGTCCATACAAATCCTCTGATCCTCGTGATCGTAAGACAGACATGGGAGATCTGGAGGAGGATTCAGGGACCGGGGGGCTGAATGATATCATCTCATCGGAGTAACAATCCTCCTTCTCATACGATACCTGATCCAGCTTCATTACTTTTTCAATCCTTTAAATTAACTAGAAATACTATCATATTCTATAGGTGACAACAAACTTACTACCTTATCAAGTGTGTTGCACAGATCTGCAGTTACTGGCAGCTAGAAGTGGAACGCTCATTGGTTGATCACGACATTAACTGGTTCCTAATCCAGCGATACCAGACATGGTTGAGAAGAAGTATCTTTTGGTTACGGGCGCTACGGGGAAGCAAGGCGGTAAGTCTTTTTCGTATACAAGTCTGAATATCTCTTTGCCTGTTGTCATGTTATTCCTGTTCGAAAGTTTTCATGCAGTCTTTCATTCTGGAACCAGTCATCCTCAGTCAAATCTATTCATCTTAATTTAGTCGCCCTATTAAGCTAGCGCAGTCATTTGTCTCTTAGATGCGGATTTGACTCACTGAACCACTGCTCTCCTTCCCCCCTACATCGCTCAGCCCAATTACCACCCCACTAACTACCCCAGGCGCCCTCGTCCGCGCCCTCCTCGCCCACCCCTCCTTCCCCACCTCCCCCTTCCATATCCTCTGCCTCACCCGCACCCCCTCCTCCCCCGCCGCCCAATCCCTCCTCGCCCTCTCCGATCGCATCTCCCTCCACCCGGGCGACTTCTCTGACTGCCCCTCCATCTTCACCACCGCCCCGGGCCCCATCTGGGGCGTCTTCTCCCTCCAAACCCCCTTCGGCCCAAGCGGCGCCGACCGCGAAGAACAGCATGGCACCGCCCTCACCGCCGCCGCCGCCACCCACGGCGTGCAGCATCTCATCTACGCCTCCGTGGACCGCGGCGGCGCGGCCCGCTCGGACGAGAACCCGACCAAAATCCCGCACTTCCGCTCGAAGCACCACATCGAGGCACATCTGAAGCGCACGGCGGCGGAGCACGGGATGGCGTGGACGATCGTGCGGCCGGTGGCGTTCATGGAGAATTTGGTGCCGGGGATGATGGGAAAGGTGTTTTCGACGGCGTGGAGGGAGGCGATGACGCCGACGCGGAATCTGCAGTTGGTGAGCGTGCGAGACTTGGGGAGGGTGTCGGCGGAAGCATTCGTGGGGTTTGAGAAGGAGGGGAGGGAGGGGAAGTGGGATGGGAGGGCGGTGTCGGTAGCGGGGGAGGAGATGAATTATGAGGACTTGGAGAATGTGTTTCGGCATACGGTGGGGTATGAGTTGCCGACGACGTTTGGGTTCCTAGCGAAGGGGATCATGTGGGTGATGCCGGAGTTTGGGGAGATGTTTAAGTGGTTTGAGGAGGAGGGGTACGGTGCGGATATCAAGGCGGTAACGAAGGAGTTCGGGCCGTTCGTGGATGTGTCGACATATCTTAAGCAGGATTCGGGGTTTGTGACTGATTAGACTGAGAATGGTTTCAGGTATCTAGGCAAGGGTCAGTTGTTATGAGGCATTCTCATCTTTCAGACTGGTCAAGGACATGGAGACAATTTGCTGTATAATTTTTTTGAAATGCTAGCAATAAAGCTGCTCCAGCATAGCCTCGCCATTGGTATCAAAGGCTACTAAGCGTTCCGACCATGACCTGTATCAGGTCTACAACTCCGCTACTACCATAATGCCATGTCCTCATTTAGCAGCCTAACGGTCCCTTTTCCCCCTCCGCGTAACCGAGAAGCCCACCCTTTGTCTAGTAATGGGACGACTTCGCTCCATTCAATCGTCATGCTCACTGGACTGCCATATCACCGGCACCCCTCACAATCCTCCAAACACCACTCCTCCGGAACCAACGCCACCACCTCAAACGCATTATGATTCCGCAACCGCTCCTCATTCCTCCGAAACCCCTTCATGCACTCCACCGTCGCCTTCGGCTTGATCTTGCTGATATTATGGACATTGAGCGCCGGCGGCGGCCGGAACATGTTGTTGTACACCACCAGGTTCACCGCCCCGTTCTTCCGGATCTCGTACCCCACGATTGTGAGCGAGTGGCCCGGCTGCTGCAGGAAGAGCGGCGGGAGCGACGTCTGGTGGACTTTCGCGGTGCAGTTGGGGCGGACGCCGCGGCGGAAGTAGGTGGACACGTAGGAGAGGAGGGCCTCATACGCTTGGTGATCCGTGGAGAGGTCATCTTGGAAGGATTCGGGGGTGAAGTCGACGTTGAGGAGGGTGAGAACCGCGGCGAGCTGGAGATTCGGTTAGTACATGCGTGAGAATTCTTGATATAGCAACTCACTTCGCTCGTGCCAATCCACTTCCGCGTGCCCTTAACGCCTCCGGTTTCCTTTCGCCCAAACGAGCAGAACCCCTTATCCCACGCCTCTTCGATCATGTCCTGTAGATCTAAAATCCCAGGGGTCATGTCGAACCCGCGCCGCCTCAACTCCTTGTAACCCTTAGATCTTGCGTTTTGGATGTACGACAGCATCACCTGGATATTCTTATACCCACAGAACCCCGTGTCACGCGTCGTCGTCTTGCCGACATGATGCACCGCATCGTCGCAGTACCACGCCTTCCGAATGTTCCGATCCGTCTCCGATAGCCGTGCCAGCTCGGGGATCAGGTCCGGCGTCTCGTTCTTATACCACGTCAACGTGAGCATCCCCTTCCCATCGGATCGGAGGATATTCTTCCTGCAGATGGAAATCGGCTGCTTCATCTCCTGCAACATCGTCGCAGGCATTTCATCCTCCCATGCATACGGGCCCAGGCCTTCCCGCCCTTTCTTCGCCTTCTTCCGCGCCATCGCGACTTTCTTCCCCTTATCTTTCCCTTTCGATTCCGCGGTCCGCGGCGCGATGGAATCGAACAAGCTGCGCGTCAATCCGGTCCTTTTCGCCGGAGATGGTTGCTTCTTGCTGTTCCGCGCGCTGCGTCGCAGGCCGTCCGCGATATTTGTATCGAACCGCCCGGTCGCGTCATCTTCACCAGCACCGCTGGGCCCTTCTCCGTCTTGCTCATCTTGCTCACGTGCCGTCGCGCTGTCTGCCTCGTCCAGCGCGAGCGACATCTCCTCCGCGTCATGCATCTCCATGTGCTCCGCCAGGTCGCTGAGCAACACGATCTCCCCGCAGTCTTCCACCTCGCATTTGACGTAGTTGAACTCCGCGTCATCTTGCAGGGAGTCATGGCTGCGCTTGCGGCGGTTCCCGGTACCGTTGCTGGGCGAGGGAGATTCATCCTTTTCTGCGCTCTTGCTCTGGGATGTGGCTGGAATGCTTGAGTCTTTGGTAGGAGAGGCGCCTCGCGCCACGAAGGGAGAGTCATCGGTGTGTTGCTCTTCAAAATGATAGAGGATTTCTTCTTCCAGTGGGGAGGTGTAGTCACACATGGGACAGTTGAACACTCCTGAAGCCATGGTGGGTTGTGAATGTGAGGTTGAGTAAAGAGGAATGATGAGGACAAAGGATGCAGCGTTGTCACACAATCATGCGTGATAACCACCTGAGTCAGTCATATAGTAGTAAGAGAAACACGTATCAGAGAGGATTGAGATCTTAAAAAGCACTGGTTTGCTTCCATGGATTAACACTGAAGAGTTGCTGTTGCTCTGCCTGAAGTTGACGCGTTAGATAGGTAACAGCATGAGAGAAGGTAGATGTTCTGAATGACGACGGCACATTCAACACGAAGTAGCGATCTTAAGGAAACAAATGAGTCATTGGTGTTGCATTTACATGATATAGAATTGAGTAAAGATAGGTGCTGAGTTGAAGAGGAGGCTCTGGTGTTGAATACTATGAATGCGGCTGGTATGAAGGCTGCCAAGGAAGGAATGTTTCGTTGTACCGGAAGTTGAACGGCGTTATCTCTCCACGCAGACAGATATTATTCAGATCAACCTGAAATAGAGTCAGATGTTATAGTAGTCATAGCATGGCTTGTGACACAGGTGGTTCATGATATAAGGTATGATCCATGTGACTTTTTAAGTAGCTCCATCCTATTGTAAAGCATATGACTGATGACCACCAACTCCACGGCGAAGATGACCATTTCGCACCCTTCTCCCTTGGATAGATGACCAGCAATTTGACTGGCAAGTCCCAATCCCCTATGACCATAGGAGATTGATACCCACGGGAAAAAAAGGATAATAACCCCCGAACTAACTCCCATCCACCATATCCGCATCCGGTGCCACATCCAGCATATCAACTTTCACCTCTTCCCCCCCCTCCACCTTCCCCTCATCCATCTTCACCCGCTTCACCCTCTCCTCCTCCTCCTCCCGCTTCCTACTCTCCTCCTCCTCTCTTTTCACCCGCTCCTCCTCCTCCCGCTCCTCCTCCGCTGCCACCTCCTCCGCCCGCCGCCGCTCCGCCCCCTCTAACATCTTCCGCGCTTCGATCGCCGCCTTGATCGCCTCGTCCGCCACCCACGTCTCCTCCACCGCCGCCCGCCGCCGGAACACCCGCGCCCACCGCGCCCCCCACGCCCGTAGGATCCTCGTTATCGCGTCGTCCGCTTCGTTCTCGAGCATCCCTTCCGACACCCCGCGCGCCACGCCGCCGACCGAGTCGTCCACCTCGCCGAACAGCGCTCGCATCGCCCCGCGCTCTTGCGTGAGGAGCTCCTCTAGCTTGGTGATCTGCTCGTCGGGCATGCCGCCAGCGACGCGGGCGTTGACCAATGCGTCGCGGATCTGGCGGACGCGTGTCGCGACTTTGCCGAGAGTGCCGGAGACCATCTCGTATAGCCAAGCATCGGCCAGCGGCTCGCCTTTTCCGAGGCGTTCGGGCCCGAGCGCCCAGAGCACCACGCTTTCCGGCAGCAGGATGGTGTAGTTGAGTAGTTTGTCGACGACGCCGACGGCAGTGCCGGGACGGAAGCGCCAGTAGTCGACGACGGAGGAGATAATTTGGCGGCGGGCGGCCTCGGAGGCCGGGCCGACGGAGACGAGACGTTCGCGGCAGCGCTCGATGCCGGAGATGAGATGCGAGAGGGATTTGGAGCCGATCACCAGGACGGCGGTCATGTATGCGTCGGTGGAAGCGACAAGGGGGTCCGAGAGGGCGGCTTCGGAGGCTTGCGCGTGGATGTTGTCGATGATGGGTTGGATGTCGGAGTCTGGGGCTTTTTTCTTCAACAAATCTAGAATCTGACGGGCTTCCGGTGCGAATGGGACATCTGTTGACGTGAGTGGTGCACGTACAAGAACAAGGGGAGGAACATACCATCAGAACTATACTTGAAATCTGGAGTATCCTTATCCTTGCCCTCCGGCACAAGAACATGATACTCTTTCGGCAGCGTTCCACGAACGCGCTTCGCAAAGCTCAACCGGATCTCCTTATCTAAGATGCCGGCTAGGAATGCCTTCTTCGGATGCAGATCAGGGCGGCTGATATCCTCAATCCTAAATAATAGTTAGATCTTGAACTGCACTTCGTTTTGTGGTGGTCTTACCATTCTGCCCACTTCCATCGAAAATCAAAGTTACTCAGATGGTGCGCAAACCAATCCATGAACCGATACTCTAGCTCCATATCCATCGAATCGATATTCCGGAACAAGAACCGGATGGCCCTTCCTAAGCTAGGCGCCACGGCCGCCGGCGCGATCTTGCAACACTCCGTCACCACGGCATGATAATACACCAGCTTGTGCTCCGGGATCGGCAGGGCGAACAGCTGGCTGAAGATCGCATCCACCGCCATATCCTCGGACTTCCACATCGTCCTGCCCTCGTCGTTCTTCAACTTATCGAACGCCGTTCCGCGCTTGGCGAAAGTGCCCGCGGCCCAGAAGCAGTCGATTTCCATGAGGAAGCGCGCCGTGGTGACGCGGTTGAAGTCGAGGAGGTTGATCGTGTCGACGGTAGCGTCGCGGATCAGTGAGGCAGCGATGTCGTCGGTCCGCGGCACGGTTTCGATCTCGGTGTCGGCGTACATGGAGAAATAGGTCTCCGGGAAGACGGGCCTCCGGCCGGGGTTGACGGGGGAGGGAACGGTGATTTCTGGGAGGGCATGTTTTGGGATCTCCGCTGTAGCCTCCTCGCTGGCCTGTTTCTTGTAGTCGGTGTAGGGACGGGAAAGACATGTGAGTTCCCAGCCATTTTCGGATTCCTTGGCCAGCTGCTTTTGGAGTAGTCCAATAAAGCTGCGGAACCCAAAAGGCTTCTGATCTTCATCGCCAAGATAAGATTCCACAAGTGGTTCGAGTGGATGAGGTGCTGATGCGACGATGTCCGTCTTCTCGAGAAGCTCAGCCGCCTTCTCAGCCCATGTGGTCGGCGAATTCGCAAGAAGATAGGGAAGAGTCAACAAGATGATCTTGACCAAGTCCAAACCAACAGCCTATATTCAAATATTAGCATGTCCTATGGCTGACCGCAGGATCTACTCACGTCCTCCTGAGACGCTGTCTGCAAATCAACGGCGCGATTGAAGACTTCGTCAAGCAATGGAAACACGCCGTCGTCAGCCAGCATCGGCTGAAGACAGGCGAAGAATCGCAAGACGAGCTTGAATCCACGCCAATCGCCGCTGTCCAATGCGAACTGCGCTCGAACTCTCGCTCTCTCCAGGGCCTCTTTCCCGATCTCCGCGTTCGTTTCATTGGCATGGAGAATGACGGCAGCAACATATGGAATCTTCAACGGCTGCTCCGAAACACTATCATCTCGTTAGCTTGCCGTGACTTGCGCCACGTTGTGCCACTCGCAAGAGTCAATGCCACTCACGCTTGAAGCACCAAATCAAAGAAGGTCTTCCTCGTCAGATCATCTTCAAAGTTCTCGTTCAACAATTTGGCGATATATTGGGCCTCGTTCGCCGCGCCATCTCTCGGTTGTTCCGCGATGGCGAGAATCAGTCGGCGAAGACGTGATGCGGCCGGTTCTTCGTAGCGGGGCTTGAAACGTGGTCGACGATCGTGATCCCCGTCGTCATCACCTGGTGTCGCGTCAGCCAATTCTCATCTCGCAGATGAAACCCGCCAGATGGTTCATAAATAACATGCCCGGAGAGGGCTTTGGTTCTCGATCGTCAAGCAGCGTATCATCCCACCCAATCCATCTGTCACTAGCAATAGGAACCGACATACCTCGCTCTCGGAAATTTCGTTTCCTTCCCCTCCCATGGAACCTCCCGCCTCCGCCATGATGCCTCTCCCCACCGCCATGATGTCTGTCTCCGCCTCCACCATGATGCCTCTCCCTACCACCTCCATTATGATGTCTCCTCTCAACGTCCATATTCGCGATCCGACTGGCGAGCTCGTCAACTGGTGTTGGGTCCTCGTATGAGAGTAGAGGCTGCTGGTGGGAGACTAGAGAATCCCAGCGGGGGCCGAGAGAAAGTTTCGCTGCCTTGAATGAATTGGGGAGTAGTTTGGCGGCGCCGAACGATGATGGAGGTGCAAGAAGGCCGGTCAGACGTGTCTGCGCGTCTGCGTTAGGGAGGACTTCGTGCTTTGTTGCGGGATGAGCTCACGAGCAACAAACAGACTGTGGGTGTGATTGATACGGGGAAGGGATTACAACAAGCCGTTGCAGGAGAGAAAAGGGGAGTTGCACGACGATGAAAACCAAATGGCAGGTTTGCGAAACGCGAGGGAGAGCTGGAGTGAATAGTTCGTGTTTAGGGTGGAAGGTGAAATTCTAGGGAGGTTTGGAACATGCAGCTGCTTCAGCGGACGAAAGGTGCCAAGAATGCATATTGTGTATCAGACGACTGACGACAACGAAACTTGATCCAACCCCGAACAAGATGACAGTGAATTGTGATTGAAACTTACCCATTCTCCATTGTTCATATCGGCGTCCATGGCATCTTCCATGGGTGTATCACCGCTGTCGGATAAATCAATTAAGATTCCCTCCATATTTTAACCTGGCGGGCGGCGCTAAGACGGGCGCGGTCGCCAATCTCACTACTGATCCGCTCGATGCAACCAATCGATAGATTGAACTGAGATTGTTGAGAATAGGGAATTGGAGATTCACAATGGGATTGAATGAGTAAGTAATGGTGTAGATGACATTGATCTTGTAGCTTCCCGTGCGGTTTGCTTAGAGGTGCTCAGGCGCAACAGGATTGCAATGGAGTCCTCTTCTCAGTGATTGAAGCAGCACAGTCCTTGATCGAGTGATTTGACCAAGATAGCTGATAGTACCGGGTCTGGATCTTGTCCAATTGCAGATAGATTGCAAGAAGATGGCTCAGATGCTAGGATCAACACGGAGTAGATATCAGTATGCACCCTTGCTTTGACCGGTGAGGATCGAGGCTGAAGAATCTCCGGCGTGAAGAGAAGTGGGATAAGCATGGGAGAGGAAAGATTATATATGGGTAGAGAGTCTGTAAGAGTGGGATTGAAATCAGTAGGATCAATGGATCAATGAATCAGTCGTTTCAGAGACTTTGAGAACATCTCGTGTAACGTCTCACATGGATCTGAATACACATCTCACTAGAACAATACATATCTCACTCGAACAAGAACGCCTTTCGATTCCACCACACTCTCCATCTACGCAATTCCCAAACCCCTCTCTCTTCCCCTTCCCACACCCCTTCATCCATCCTCCAACCACTTCCCAACCCAGCACCCACCCCAACCATCGAACGATCACCCCACCGCAAGTCCTTCACCATTGCGCTTCATCCCCACACAATCGACGATAGCGAACCAACCACCGCCAACAACCCATCCAGCGCGAACAGGACGGCACGCGGATATGGTAGGCAATTGATGGTGCGACACCGCCACCGAAGTCTAGGTCTGATGAATGCGGTCGAATTCAAAGGGGAGAGTGGGCTTTGGGGTGGGGGGGACGGGGGGACATGCAAGATGATGGGAGGAGGGTTGGGAGGGTTTTTATAGGAATAGGAATTCTTGCTATGCTGTGTGGGATTACGGCGGATATACCGGGGACGCACGTGGGACCTACTCACGCATGATCGTATGATCGATGGCTTACTGGACCATCAACGGCAGACGCAGCAGTAGGAGTAGCAGTATTAGTAGAAGTAGACACAGCGACATCGGTAGTAGCGTCAGAACACTAAACATACGAAGTTGCAGACCCCACGTTCAAGAAACTGTTTGATAGAAAATTGAATTTGATTTGATTTGATTGACTAATGAGACATGACTTTCGTTTTGGCTCTGCTCGTAAAGGAAAAATATGAGAACATCGACCATTTTACGGACGAGCGCTGGCAGTGTGTGCCTCGCAAAACAACACCAGAATGGCGAACGTCAACAGCGACATCAAAGAACAACGACGAGAAAACGTCCGAAAACCCGGAACAGGCTAGCGAACCGCCCCTATCTGTCCCCAAATGAAAATTGAAAACACACTCGGAAGGCGAGCGGGATGGCGCGGGAGGAGAGAGGAACATGTGCTGCTTGACGGATCGCGATTTTCTGTCGTTTTCGGGGGATTTTAAGCAATGGGAAGATTGGTGGATCGGTTCTGCTGGTTGGGAGGAGCAGAGGCTGGAACGGATGATGTGAAGTTGCTGCTGATCGTGTGCCGTGAAGTTGGTGATGAAGCGGCGTCGAACTTTTGGTGACATTCGAGGATGAGGTCGGGAGGTCGGGGGGACGCTGGGTGATGGCTGGACGGCTGGACGGCTGGCTGGACGACTGGTCGGATGGATGGATGGGGGAGGTAAAGATACACCAATGACAATAGGACACGACGGCAAGGACGACACTGACGACACTGACCACGACACCAACACCAACACCAACGAACAGAAGACGGGAAATAAAACAATCGAAATAACCCATCCATGATTTTCGCTGCCAACATGTACTCGTACTCGTACTCGTGCCGAGACTCTTGCGAACTCTGAGATAGAGGGGGAGAGGGAGAGAGAGAAGGAGAAGGAGAGGGAGAGGGAGAGAGAGGTGGAGGAGGTTTAGCGGGTATGACGACCAACCGACATCCGCAACATGACGGATGCGATAGTGACGTGCGCGATTTGCGTAGTAGTGCGTTGCGGTGTTGTGAATTTCCCAGAAACATAACTTCGTGAATGCATCCCAATTCCATTCCCGTTTCATTCCATTCCATTCCGTTCCATTCCATTTCCATCTCCGTGTCCCTGGATGTTCCCTTGGTTCGGTTCCCCCATCCCCCAATGTGTCTGTCCACCACAGCAAGAGAGAGAGAAAGGATTCGGGGGTATAAGGGGGAATGAACGGGGTGGCGTTCTCTCTCTCCCGATTTTTCGGAGTGTTTTGCGCGCGACGTTCGTTCGTCCCTGGTTCCACGCCCGCGCGAGTTGGGGCTTTTGTCTGTTGTCGACCCCGCGGCCAATGTCCGGTTGATGTTACGTTGCGCAGGCGTTTCCCGTCCCGGTAGGCGGGCCCTCGTGCTCCCGGGGAAGGACAAGAGGAAGAGATAGGGGGGAGCGTTAATCCAGCCGGGCCGCCATGTCCTCTTTGGTGAGGGGTCGGAAATTGGGCGCATCGATGTCCAGGCCCTTGGCGCGCAGGGTCGGGCGGATGTGCTGTGGAACGAGTTGTTGGTTGAGTGGAGGGGCGATGGAGAGTTCTGCGAGGGTTAGCGAGGGAAGAACGCGGATCAAGCGGGACACATACCGTGATGGGAGAAATCGAACAGCACGGGCAGTTCCCGAGCGGCGCCGTTGGTGTGACGGGAATCCGGGAGCTTGGTGCTGGGATCCCGCAGCTGGTCGAAGAACGGATGCACCATGGCGTCGATGGCCGACAATCTTTGCGTAGGAGTGTATTCGAGCAACTTGGAGATCAGATCGATGGCGTCGGCATCGGCTTTGCGGAAGACCTGGGCGATGTCAGAGGCGGGTCTTCCCGATGGGGCACGGCGACGGGATGCGGGCTTGAATACCTTGCTGAACGGATGCGGTTTGATTTGCGGGAACTTGTGTTCCATGTAGTTGGGGTTCATCGTACGGATCTGATCCCGGGTGGGGGTTCCGAGCACTTTGATGATCTCCACGAGCTGGTCGATTCCGGACTCGCCTGGGAAGAGCGGTTGGCCAAGCATCAATTCCGCCATGACGCAGCCGGTGGACCAGACATCTAATTACGTTAGCTGGATCGGATCATTCGATGGATTACAGCATGAACCTACCAATCTTGGTGGTGTAATTGGTCGCTCCGAATATCAACTCCGGCGCTCGGTAGTACCTTGAACAGATGTAGGAAACGTTCGGCTCATTCTCCACCAGGATCTTCGCGCTGCCAAAGTCGCAAAGTTTTAAGATGCCGGTGGCCGGGTCGAGCAGCAGATTTTGGGGTTTGATGTCCCTGTGGCAGATGCCTTGGGAGTGGATGTATGCGAGCGCGCGGAAGAGCTGGTAGATGTAAAGTTTGACCTCGAGGATCGGCATGACCGTCTTCATCTTGTTGAACCATCGCGATGCTCGGTAGACGGTTTCGGGGACGAATTCGAGGATGAGGTTCAGGTAGACTTCATCTTTCTGTCAGGGGTTAGAGTTGCTCAAATTAGATCGAAGCAGACGAGGAGTGGCGTACCCGTTCCCCATTGCTGTAGTAGAAGGCTTTCAACTCGACGATGTTTGGATGACGGACAATGCGCATGATTTGCAGCTCCCGATTCTAGAAAGTTGATCAGAACCCTTCTTTCCAGTTTTTGCAGTATAACATACCTTGAATCGCTTGTCTTGCAGTACTCGTTTGATGGCAGCATCCTCCCCACTTGGTGACAACTTGGTCTGAAACACCACGCCAAACGACCCATTCCCCACAATCTTGCACTGGGTATACGCCAGATCTCTGGTTTCGCCGGTCAATCCATCCTGCACCTTCTCCCGAATGACTTCTGCAATGCGAAAAAAATCGTTAGTATACCTGCGACGTCGCACGTGCCGGGGTCGACGGCCGAAAGCGGATGGGGACCTTACCTCCCATGCGAAGCGTCGAGAACGCCGACGGCCGGTTCTGCGACATGCTGAAGTGATTTGATAATGTTGAGACCTCCAAACCGACTGCGTTGGGATTCGATCACGGTTGAGTGGTGGCTTGGATTTTCGCGGGATGTGCGTGCGTCGGTGGGCGGAGCGAGGATGCAGGATCGTGGAGTCCGTCCGATCCGATGATGGATGGTCGAGAGGGAATTCCAAGGTGGAATGGTCGACGAGGAGGGACGAGGGCAATGGAACACGCAACGGGTGCTGGACAATGGAGGGAGGGGCGCAAGAACGGATGGGTGATGATGCGGCGGGGAAGTGGGAGGATGATGGGGATTCAAGGTGGTGAGGGCGTTGGTCGTGGATGACGGAGCTTGGCTGGGTGGGAGGGTTGGTGGACGGGCAGGGTCGGTCGTACTGCAGCGGCCAAACAGGTCAGCGGTTGAAGCGGGACATGGCAGCCCAGGGAAGGGTGGGATGGTACCAGATCTGAAATTGGGATGGGAAATGAGGATTTCTAGGGAATGTGCAGGATGTGAATAGGCTAAGTGAAGCAGTTGGATGGAGTGAGGGAGAGGTGGAAGAGGGAGAGGTGGAAGAGGGAGAGTTGGAGAGTGTGTGTGAGAGAGAAGGAAAGCGGGTGGTTGATTGATGGATGGATGGGCAGATGGGGCAAGTCAGGCGAAGAGGGCAACAGGGTCCGTGTGTGCATGAGCTGCACCGCTGCACCACTTGTGAGGATGAGCTTGGGTTTGGATTGACTGTTGAGCACTTGACAGTCCTTTTGACGCTTGATGCGTGGTGAATGATGATGATGATGCAGGCAGCGAGGTGAGGATGATTTGGAAACTTGAAGGGGAGAGGGAAATGGGAATAAGCACCGACAGCAGTGATGATAGCGTACCGTAATGATGGAGTGGTTGTCGTGGTGGTTGTTCGTTGTTACAGGTGAATTTGGACGAACCGCTGGATAGAAACGTAGCAGCGGGGGAGGAGGGGATCAAGTTAAGATTCAAGTCAGGGAGGAGAAAGATGGATGGAAATACGCCGAGCGTGAGAGGCCGAATGTTGCAGAGTCAAGACTCGAGAGTGAACATCAGAATTCAGAGCATCAGAATTCCGAACTGGGAGCAGAGAGCTTGAGTCTTGACTCTTGAGAGTGATTGAAGCCCCACTAAACTAAATCTGAGAGGAGAGCGTGACCACCGATGAGAGGAGCCACTGAAGAGAGACGCAGCAAAAGTGTCAGAGAGTGTGTGAGAGAGGCACACCCTCTCGCGACGCACCAATCGTGATGATCCGTGATGATCCTGACGAACTCCTGACGCTGTTGCACTTGGATTGGAAGGTTTTCCTAGGGAGTGGTGCTGTCGTCCTGACTTCTGAACCCGATCAAGAGCTTGGAATTGCCCCTCTTTCCCCCCAATGAAGCTTTGCACTTTGCACCTTGCCGTTGACGATGGATGATGATGGCCGATGATGATGCACGCGGCTAACCGAACGGCGTGTGGGACTCTGTGTGCTTGGGCGGGATTGGGCACTCGGGCACTTGGGCTGTGCGTTGAGGCCTTGAGAGGCAACTGGGGCACGAGGTAGATTTCCGGCCCTCTGGATTTCCTGGATTTCTGTAGCCGCCTAATTACAGCCTACCAATGTCGTAATTCACCACCACGAGACGGCTCCAACCGGCAAATAGGTCACGTTTGGATAAATTGGAGCAGAGGTTGGGTGCTATGCTGGTTCCGTCCCAAGCTGGGAGGATCGGGAGGATAATTGTTGGGATGCAGGAAGCTTGAACTGGGGGGGGTGAAACTTGAATTCGGGTTGGGGGGTTTTACAGGATGTAGGATGGGGTTATGAATGAGTTGTTGATGAGAAGTATCAAAGTCTGGTGCTGCTAATGAATCAATAGAGCGATTCAGTTCGAAGGCAAAGTGTTGTCCGTCTGTTGGATTCATTTGGATAGAGGGAAGAAGCAAAGTGCCTGTGATCACCTGCACCAATGGAGTGGATCATCACCTGCATCCTGTCTGGTCTGTATTAATAAATCGGATGTCACCAAACGCCCCAATCTTACAAGGAAGTTTTACTCGCCATGGCATGGCGTTGAGTTCAACAACAATTCGGGAAAATGTCTTGGATTTCCGCATTTTATATTCCTAGTGGCCACTAAGAATGGTCGCCGTTCCTGCATTTCCAATATTTAATTGCAGTCCTTTCAACCGCTCTGTCCTGGGACATTATCGACCGAATCTCCAAGTCGTCGAAGTCATATTGCGCTGCATCCGACTCGCCTCATTTGGCTGGCTCTGCATAACAATAATAATATTGGTCAGGATTAGAATAGAAAGGCAACCAGTCGATTCTGCCGCTAATTCGGACTTAACGTCCTTAAGATCCCCCTTTATATATTGTCCGTTTTCTCACGCAGGCCTCCGATCCGGTCACCGTTTTGCGCTACCATCGTCACTACAGCACAACAACAGCCGCTACACTCGCAGCTGTCTCCCATTCAACATTTCGACCTCAACGGCATTCCAAGATCCCCGCCCACGGCATCTCGCATGATTGGTCCCCTCCCCCTCGCCGCAAGTGGTTCACCTTTTCTCAGAGTCCCGCCATCATTGGGCGGTTAGACGGTCGACAGGCCGACTTTCCCTCCGTCAGACCAGCCAGAGCCCCGAGTCCGATTGCGGTTGGGCGGTTGAGTGATGTGCATCCGAGAAATATCGGCGGCGAGGACGCTGATTGGCGGCGTTGCCGATTGGGAAACTAGACAGTAGAAAGACCACGATATCTGAAACATAGCGGCGGTGATCTGCCGTTGACGACGGGCTGGTGGTTCTGCCGATGGGCTCAACGGGAAGGGTAATATCAGAATCATATTAATATCGGCCTGGTTGATGCAGATGCAGTCATGCAGACATGCGGTGATTCCGGCATTCTGTCTCCTGCTTCATCATCTTCCCACTATCATCCGCTCCTGGCCTCCTCCTGCTGCCGCGTCGTTTCCAGCATAGTTTCTTACCGCCGACGGAATTGCCAATCCTTCATTCGGCATTTCCTATCGTGACGGGATTCCCGATTGCCTGGGACGCAGGATCATGATGAGCAGGTCACACAGTTATACAGCATCCAGCTCAGGCTCACAGCAGAATACTCCAGTCACTGGACCAAGTGGAGTCATCGCGACATGGCCACCGTCCCACTCATAGCCGCAACGTCCGAGCAATGCATCGTCAAATGACCTCACGTCGCCTACATGCGGCTCTGGATCATCGCACCCACTCACCAGGCAGACAGCAGACAGCAGTAATGACAGCAGCGACATCGACTGCATCCGTGATGGTCAATGCCAGGTAACATTGACGGTTGAGAACCCTCCTGCACGATTCCGCGACCGTCTCATCATGCCTCCCATCATCTGCAGTAGAGCACGAGTGACGCCCAGGCACGACCCATCCGCCGCGCAAATCACTCGACCCAAATTGGCCCAATGGAGGAATACGGGGCATGCGCTAAATCGTTAATATGAGAACAGGGGGGAATTAACCGATCCTCTCGCCACGGACACCACCACCTTTGCCAAATGCCAATCCAAATGGGCGGGACAACGGGGAGTCTGGACGTTTTAGGACGTCCCGCTGCCCACAAATAACGACGCGATTCGGGAAATCAGAAAAGGATGCATGGAGCTGAGGGACTCCCTGTGGGAGCCATCAGCAAATCCCCCTGCTGGAAACGTGAAAAAAGTCCCTGCATTTCGGACAAGGCACATGACCGCCGTGAACCACGTGATACTACCATCCTTGTCCGCGAAACCGCCCTCCCCACCACGTCTCCCATCATTTCATTCCATTGGCAATTTCCCGCTCGCGCATTCGTCCAACCTCCATCCGGTCCTCGCTGATTGGCGCGTCGCGTTGATATTCGAATTTCGATCTTGCGATTTTCCATGGCCCTGGTCAATCTTGGGCGCGCTCCCTGCATCCGATGGCTCCGTCGAATCACGGTGAGGGGATGAGATTGATATCGCGACGAGTCCGCGACACCGGAACGGATTTCTGGATGGGCTAGAGTGGAGATGCGCGCGTTCAGTTTCACAAGATGTCCTGTTGAAGTTTGGAGGATTGAGTTATAGAAGGATCCAGCATCAAGGACACATGATCCGGTCCTGGGGTTGCAACCATTCTGATAGCCTATTCAGGCACGACCTCCACTGCTACTATCCTGGTGAGTCTCCTATGACAACTTCGCCGCATGATCGACGACATCCATCAGGTTGCAGTATTAGGGAATATTGAAACTCAAACAATCCAATCCAATATCCAATTCAATAAACGCTCTTGAATACTCCCGCCTCCGCTACCGTCAGCCATTGCTTCGTCATCCACTCCCCACCACCCTCGTGGCCACCCCCTGCTCCTCAACTCCGGTTCCAGCACACCATCATTCTACTTATTATTGTATAATTGTACCTACGTGATGCAGATCTGATCGCCGAGCCGTCCTGCCAGCCAACCACCCATCTCCCCCGCCCATGATTTAGCGAGGTGACCAGCCTCATTCGCCGCCCGCTCAGCTCCGGTTTCTCCTTGAACACCTACTAGGAGCACTCAGCAGACACGGGCTGGAACGGTTACACGCCTCGTGAACCTCTTCAACCGGTCAAGGTCCTTAGCACTCACCCAGCCGACCCAGCTCGGACCAGATATCTCGACGATCGTCAGGGGTGATCCTATCTGTTAAGTGTTAGGTCGAGAGTCTGGGACCGGATGCAGCGCGTCAGCGAGCCGGCGGTATCTAATTCGGGGGTCGGCGCGGAGATATGCGAGGCATGGTTTCAGAATTTAGAGCCGGGGAGATCCTTTGTTGCGTTTGAACTTTGATGAGATGCTGAGTTCACGGTAGCCTGTCACGATGAAAAGGAGGCGAGATGGGACGTTGTCTTGACTTGAAGATGACCTCCCTCGCTTTCACATCTCACCCAACCAGCCCCAATCAGCACTTCTTCCACCCACCCCTCCCTCCTCATCAGTCACCACACGCATCCCCAATCCGTCCACCCACCTCCCTCCCTCCCCCAATCCAGCCTCGCCTCCATGCCAATCTAGCGACTTGCATCCCAGCGCACCAATCCCTCGCCGCCTGCCCCGCGCTGTTGCCATTCCGATGCATGCTGCATGAACTGAGCTCGCCCGTTCGCTGACGGGGAGTTCGGGGCGTCGGGACGCGGGTATGCCCGTCGTTCGTCCGCTGGTGAGGGGGACGGGATGAGTGATGATGGGTTGAAAGTGGGTTGGTTGGGAGGGGAGGGGTAGGTGAGGGGGGTAGGGATGGGCTCTATCGTGAGATTGGAGTCGGGTGGGAAGGGAAGTTTGTGTTTAGCGTCCATTACTCTACTATAGAACCGATTCTGCTCTCATCGGACTATTCATTGCTGATAGTCTGCGAAGGACCAAGAGATGGCCACCTATTCTACAGGAATAGCCTCATTGGACTGCTAACCAACTTTGGCTCCCTTCGACAACTCAGGAGGCTTGGAAACCGGACTACCGTCCGTTAATTACCGTATCTGTCATCTCATTGAGTCCAGTCAAGTTTTCATATTGTCATGTCCGTCCATTGCCAAATGGCTTCTGAATGTCGCGAGTTATACACGGTTGCTTCTATTCCAATCGAGTCACAGTAACATCTCATATCTCTGCAGTCTGGATACAATTGGTCGACTGGATATGCAAACTGCATGTACCTCTACTAATCCGCATGTTGAGCTCTGCTCCGTGGACCTCTCTTACTCAACCTCAATGTCAGAGTCACTATCGTTCGCTTTTCTCTTTCTATGTCTGCCTAGCAATCCTGTGAGGTATGTTCCCCCTTAACCATGGACACTTGTGTCTTCGAAGGCAACAGCGACATGTAGGGCCTAAGCATCCGTATCGGCTTCTACCTCATCTGGTACGGAGTCCCCCTGGCCACCGCCCTCGCCCCGATGAAGTGAAAGGCCTCATGGGGTGCCGTCAGTGCGACGTTCGTGTTTCTAGTAATTATCATGTTCCTAACCCCCCCCCTATTCTATGAACAGCATCCCGTGATCATGATCCACCATCCATCCAACTCCCACATCCGTCACTCCACCCCTTCCGAGCACAACAACCGACTCCCTGCCCGCCACCGCAGTCTTCCAGGATTTTCAAGCTTCCCCCTGCACGGGCATCGGAATCCTCTCCGCCCAGTTCATCATGCCTGAGCTGCTTCCCTGCATGCAGTGAAAAAAGTGAGGCGTACTAGATCGCGATGAAGCAATGTCGGCGCGATGCGCTACGGTGCTTGGCTGCGGGTGAGACGCGTGGATGCGCTGGGGGTCCACTGGGCTGGGTCAATGGATTCTGATGTTCGGAGGTTGTGGATTGTTTGGTGTTGGAGTAGGGAGGTGGAGGGGGTGGGCTGAGGGCAAAGTGGAGATACGGATTGTAGTAGTATCCTTTAAGATTCTTGTTAGAGGAATCATCAAAATATTAGGAAGCGGTCGTTGTGAACCGAGAGCTTGCGGATCTAAGTGAGTCAAGGATATCGGGCGGCTTAAAATAGGAAGATAGGCATTACGAATGGCATCTTACATGCTCTTGAAGAGGATATATAATATTATTCGGGCGATGTCATGCGCATCAAATATCCCGACATAGCCGTGAAAGTACCCATAGTACACATACGACTGAAGAACAATAGGGGCCGCTCAGCCCTGGAGAAACCCCCAACGCCATTGCCATGCTAATAAATGTAGTGAACCTCCGTACGTGGGTCGCCAGGGGGCAATCCCGTCATATGTGATAAACGATAGCAATCACTCTCCCTGCAAAACCTCCCCCGGCCCCTCAACCTCCACTAGCTCCGCCCGCTCCCTCCTTCCCGTCGGCGTCGACGGCCCACTCTGCGTCCCCCTCGGATCCTCATCCACCCTCAGCCGCCCATCCCGATCCTCGTCCGGCACCTCGTCTACGTCCGTCCTCTTGTCCGGCGTCGGTGGTTCCAAAGAAAATGTCGGCATCCGGGATCGTAATATCTCCACCGACGACGACGGCGTAGCGAGCTCTACTTGCACGCCCTTCGACCGGTCCTCGTCGCTCTCGCTGCTCAGCCCTGTCGCGCCGCCATCCATGCGCACCACACCCCTCGCCTCCCCAGTCGAGTCCGACCGCGGGCTCTCGCTCCGGGTATATCCTCGCCGCGGCGCCATAGGACTCGTGTCCGGCGAAAGCAACTCCCCCCCCTCCATCCCAGTCCGCCGCCGCCGCATCCTCCCGGACTCCGGGGACGGCGACGACGCGTCCATACCCTCAGCATCCCGCTCGTCCGGCGTGCCCGCGCTGTCATACCCAGCACTCAGTCCCACGGCGGTCCGCGCGCGGCGCAACCCCGACGGCCGGCGCGCGAACACGTCGCGCACGATGGGTGGGAGGACGTCGTCGAGGTGAGTGGAGGCGACGCCGCCGCCGAGGAGGGCGCCGCCGACGCGGACGAACAGGAGAAGGCCGAGGCAGAGGAGGAGGAGGGTAGCTTGGAGGACGGCGAGGCGCTTTTGCCAAAGGAGCTCGTCGGCGAGGAGGGCGAGGCGGCGGCTCATGGCGTGGAGTTCGCGGGCCTGGCGGTCGCGGGCGCTGTCGAGCTCAAGGACGGTGGATTGCCAGAGCTGATCGTAGAGGGTGCGGAAGCCGGCGAGCTCGGCGGCGACGGTGGAGTTGAGGTGGGCGAGGAAGCGGGTGGTTTTGTTTAGTTGGCGCTTTTCGACGGTGGCGAAGGCGTCGCGGAGGATGCGGGATTGGGACTCGATGTATTGGAGGGAAAGGGAGGAGTTTGATTCGAGGGATTGGAGGCGCTTGTGGAGGGAGGCGAAGAAGGATTCTTGGGTGGTGGGGGAGGGTTGGGGGGAGGAAGTGGTGGTTGCACGGGATTTGGTTGAGGTGGAGTTGGACGAGATAGATTGGCTTTGGGGGGATTCGGTCGGTGATTGTGAGGCTGTCGTATTGCGCAATGCCATAGGTGGGTGCCATGTCTCGGTTGAAGATGATGGAGTCTGCGCTGTCTTTGAGCTGCCATCCGATGCTGTCGTCGATCGAGACGACTCGTCTGTATTCGTGGTATTGTCAGTCGCGGTGGTGACACCCGATGATGGCCCCGCAGTCTTATTCTCCCGTTCGTTGAATGAAGACTCGTATTTGCCCATAATGTCCGACTCCGCAACATCCACGGTAGAATTCGCAGTCCCCGTCGAAGGAGATGCCACCTCCGTATTTGTGTGAGCGTGTGGCGTTTCCGGATCGGTCTCGCTCGGTTGATCGACTCTGGTTTCGTCCCCAACAGGAGATGCCGAATCCAGAGGTTTCCCCTCCGGTTCCGAGATGTTTTCTATCTCTAGAGACGGAGACACTTCAGCCACGCCGTCCGCCCTAGCCGTCTCTCCGGAGCTCACGTCCAAAATATCCTCCGCATCATCCTCCTGCCCGGCGTCGCCCCTCGCGAGCTCTTCCTGGCGTCGAAACTCCTCCATCATCGTCGTCCCATGCACGCGCACCAAGCTGACCGGACAATAATACTCGTTCCCATAGTGGCTCAGAAACTCGATGCGCAGATACCGCGCCCAGATCAGCGGATGCTCCACCAAGAACGCCTGAATCTCCCGCGAGTTCCGCGCCTCGAACGTCGCCAGCTCCTTCCACCGGTCCATCTTCACGGGATACCGATCCGACACGCTCACCCGGAACGCGCGCACCATAGAACTAAAGAACTCGAAGTTCGCTAGCACCACCGTATCGACCAGGATGTCCTCGCACAGCTCCACGATCAGGTACTTGTTCGCCGCCGCGCACTCGTTCAGCAGGTAGCTGTCCTTGTTCTCCACCAGCACCGCCGAGCTGCTGCGGCACTCCGCGTTCGTCTTCACCACCGTCGCCGCGCAGTCGAACGACGCGTAGTTGAACCGTTCCTTGCACGTCTTCCCCGCATCCTTGTTCCGCGCGTGCTCCGCCGGCGCTTTCTTCGCCCCGTCGCTGCCCACCCGATCTTCCCTCCCCTCACCCCCTTCCACCACTGCACGCTCCCCCTTCTCCCATCCCTCTCCCGCGCCAAACCCTCCGAAGTCCAACTCGATCTCCACATCCTCACCTAGGCTGTCCAGCGGTGCGTTCATGCCAGGAGGGCGACGGGAGCCCTTGGCGTGCGCGGAGTGGCGGCCCACACGGTCGGGGGACTGTCCGGCGTCGGCGAGGTTCTTCTTGCGCCATTCTTCGAAGGAGAGGAAGTTGGCTGTGTCAAGGGGGGAGGCTTCGTCGGGTTCGGGGTCGATGGTATCGGAGAGGGGAGGGTCGGCTGGGGGGGTTGGGGAGTCGGGAATTGCGGCCGAGGACTGGGGAGGGGAATCGGTCTCGGGGATTGCGGTGGGTGCGGTGTCGTTGGAGTCGTTCGTAACCGTGCCATTACTACCCATTCCCGTCTCTTGATCCTCCGCGGTCCCGACACCGTGCGTCTCCGCCGGTGGCGCCGACTGCGCCGTCCGCCCCGTGTTCAAGCATTGCTGCGGCAGCGTATGCGTCAAGTAATTGATCGTCCGGAACTCGCACGTCGACGGCGTGGGGATGGGCGGGGATGGATCGTTGAACGTCGTGGTGCTCGGAGGGGTCGTCGTCTCGGTGACGCTCTGCCCAGCGGCGACGGTGCAGAGGAACGCAAGGCCGGTCAATATCAGCCGTCGGTGCTTCTGCATCTCTCCATTATTGGCCGTGGTCGGGAGCGGGACGGTGCAGGATGGTTGGTCGGAACAAAGGGTGGTCACGATCGGATTGGGGTGGATTGTGGGAATTGGTTTTGTTAAGGAGTTCTAGGCTCATTTATGTCATTACCATGTTGCAGTGCAGAACATGTCAAGTTTTGTATTTCATTCAAACACTAGATCGAGGAACATCGAGTCTGGAATGGTACGGATTAATACGTGGAGTGTGGAGGTGGCAATTGACAGTTGGCTTTATCTCCGGCTCCGATCCTGGCGAACGGACTGTGCTTAGAACCGTTGGAGTTAGTTATTCAGCCCTACCACTGCGATATTCCCATCACCAATAACACTCCCTTTCAATAGTTTCAAACACCAATAGGAGAATCACACTGCATCAGCTATTCAACAAGGGCATCAACCATCACCATCGTCATGACAAAATAAAATAACGTGATTGATTCTTGGGGTGGTCGTATCGGGTCATAAAACATGCAGATGGGTATGGGACCGTGATATCTCCTTTGTCCATCCCGACCGATATCCCGTCCGTCGCCAGCCAAAAAAGCACGCACGCCCCCCAATGACAATTATGATGATAATGATGATGCCGCCGGTAGACAGTCGACAGTAGACCTTCCCTCCCTATGTGCCGAAGACCGTGGCCCCGGTGGTTCTCATATCAGTAAATCTTGCAATGTGTCCGCCTGCTTTCTAGTTCCAAGCGATCGTGAAGGGGAGGTGTTGGAGATCTAGGAAAGTGAACACCTCTGTTTCGATGGACATGATGTGGAAACATTGCGTGTGGTGTTCAGTCGCCAGGGGTATGACTGGCGGGGGAATATCAAATATGGAGTGGGGGTGTTGGGACCGAACGAAGTACGGCTAGTCCGCGAGATAAGGGACCTGGAGACCTGGAGATAAGGGAGCAATCCAGCGGAGCACGCCCATCGACGGTAATAGAAAAGTCGAGCCTTTATACTCGATGGGTAAGAATGCGTCCCCGAGCGCATCACCCCAGACGTGCTGGGTATATCTGATGTTGAATTCAGAACCCCTGCTCCCCGGACACACAAATCTTCACGTCCTTCACCCACTCCGACAACAGCACCTGATGCGCCGTCAGCCGCCGTGTCGGATTCGGATCCAAGATTGAATAGATGACGTTCCGGCATTTCGCCTGTTCCCGTTAGCAACCCGTCACCACATTCTCACGAATCAAGAACTTACCCGTCTCAACACCTCGATCGGGCGAAATCCCGACTCCTCTCTCCGATCCTCCAAATACCGGGTAAAAAATTCATCCTCTCCCTTCTGCGCCACGCGCCACAGATGCCGGCCCGTGCGCATCGCCATGTAGATGACGCCACACGCCCACACATCCACGGCGCGCGGGTCGAACTCCTCGCTCACGTACTCCTCCGGGGCGATGTACGGGCCGGAGCCGCACACGCCGGCGGTCATGTGGGCCTGCTTCTCCCAGGCCATGCGGAAGCACTCGCCGTTGCCGAAGTCGGTGATCTTGATGGCGCCGTGCTGGGTGAGGAGGAGGTTCTCGGGCTTAAGGTCGCGGTGGGAGACGCCCATCTCGTGGATGTATTCGACACCGCGCATGAGCTGCTTGAAAAAGCAGTCGGCTTCGGCGACCTCGAGGGTCGTGGAGGCGAGAATGAGCGTGTAGAGGTCACCGCCGGCGCAGTATTCCATCACCTCGCAGTAGTCGCCTTTCTCGTCTTTGAGGAGGTCGAGGGTTTGGATGACGTTGGGATGTTGCATGGACGAGGAGATGCAGAATTCCGAGGTCAGGCGCTTCTGGTAGCGCTTGTCGGATTCGCCGGGCCGTTGATGGAACTCCTTGACGGCGAAGAGCTGCTCGCGCTTCGGATCCTTGACGTCGACCTTGTGCGCGATACGCACCACGCCGAACGCCCCGTGCCCGATGATCTCGCTGCACTTCCCGTATTTCTGCACTAGCGTGTGGCTCTGCATCGGGCCCCCCTTCATGTCCGTCGGTGCCTTATCCTGCTCGCTTCGCTTCTGCGTGATCCAGTCCGCCATCAGGCTAGGCGGTTGGTCTTCTGCGTGCCCGTCCTTCTTATCGAACCAGCTGCGCAGCACGTCCTTCAGCTTCTGCTGCCGTTTGGCCACGCGCAGGAGGTGCTCATGCGCGCCGTCATCAGCGACCCAGAAGCGGCGGTGCGGTTCATCCGGTTTGGCGCCGTTCGGGGCCTGCCGTGCGGACGGGGCGGGGGATTTCTTCTCCGAGGGCTGGCGCGCGAGGGCTTTCGGTCGCGGTTTGCCGTCATCAGGAACCGGGCTGGTGGCTTGCGATCGGATGAACATGCCACTGATGCGCGATGTCATCGTGGGCTTTTTCGGAGGGGCGAGGGCCTGTGCGGGTTGCAGAGCGGGACTGGCACCGTTCGTGGGCGCGGGCAACGGTTGGGAGCTGCCATCTTGGGATTTGACGGACGCCGTCGAGGAGGATATCGCGGGAGAACTGACCGGATCGGTGGAGCGGCTAGCAGGATGGTTCGAGGCGGATGGCGTTGGCATATCTTTCGACGGGAGGCGAGACACAGGCTGAAAGTCGCTCTCTGCAGCGATGACGTCCTAGGGTGGTGGATGGGACGGATCGTCCGGACTGTAGCGCGGGATTTGGGTCACGAGTCACGACACTGCCCACTCCGACGAGTGGGCAAAGACGTGGGAAATTCGCAATGAGTTGGAAGGGGATTTCGGCCGTGGATCGCGGACTTTGGTGATGGAGAGAAAGGAAAGGAAGAGGGCGAGAGAAGGAGCGGGTGGAGGGGAAGCTGGTGATTTGTTTCCGGTCTCTCCACAATCCACATGGGCGGCTGCGCCATCCAAAGGATCCAGGTTCTGTCCGTTCCGTATTCAGGGAATTCGGTTGCCAGTAACCAGTTGCCTTTGCTGCGAGTGTTGGAATGAGCGAATCGGCTTGGCGGTGGGATGCAGGCTGAATGTAGTAATAATATGAAGACTTAGAGACAGGACTAGTAGTTCAGGCGTCCAACGTCTGCTAGATGATGCTGATAGTGATGATGAAGATGATGAAGATGATGAAGATGATGGGTGAATAAATGATGGGTTTGGTTTGCAATTTGAAGGCGAGAATCAGACAAATCGGACAAATTGGACACCATCAGCCCCCGCGGACCGTTGGGAGAGGATGTGTCAGTGTGTGTGTCTGTGGAGTATCTGGGTGGTCCGGAACCGTCCCGTCTTTCCTTTGGTGACTAGAGATTTTTAAGAGATTTCTTAAGAGATTTCTTAACCTTCTAACGGACCTATCATTTCGTCGATATATAAACCATGGCCCCATTTGGCCCTCTCTGCTGACAAAACTCGTTCCGTGGGAAATCAAGGAATTCAGGGAAACATGTCCCTCCATTTCGATTGGATGATGGAGGACGTAGATGATGGATTCTTGGATGTCTAGTCTACCTAGTACGGGACTTAGGACTTCGTAATCCGATGCGGGAATAGATGTGCTCGCTGGAAATATTGAGATTGGCGGCAATCATTCACCAGTTCATTCGGACTCAAGATGATCAACGGAACCCAGCCTTGGCCTCATTCGCAATGTAGTGAGTTGTGACTAGTTAGTTGTAACGTATGATTTTCATTTGATCAATGAGTCGTTAGAAGAACTAGAAGCCTTGGTGAACACCCGTAGGCCGTAAGGTCAACGTGGGAAATACCACTTAGGGAGCTTGACTGTTGTTAGGCTGCTTGTTCCTGAAGCTTGAGCGGCTTGACTATGCTTCGTGCCACTCTGGATCCACGGGCCGAGCGTGCAAAGGCGTCGTGATTTTCTTAACTGACTTTGGACTTGGCGGAAATGGCGTCAGTTACGGTAATGAGATGGACGGAGGTAGATCGCTAGATCGCTGTCGCCAACCATCAACAAACCATCCGTTGGGTGAAACGATGGCTCATCGCACATCCATCATCTGCCATACGTGGTAAACCAGCTCAGGAGTCGGATCCCCCAACACAGCACACAACCAGCGACATGAAGTGACAGGCAAGCGAAAGCGATGCAGCTCGGTATTCCGAATGGCCAGCCAATCCAGCCATTCCAACACGCCGCAATCCCGCATTCCGTCCCATCTCGCACCCCTCTTTGATCTTTCGCTTGAGTTCCCTCCCCTGGACAACGCCCCGTTCCAAACTTCTATGCGCGATTTTCGTCTCTCCCCAAATTCCCAAATCTTATTCATGCATCGGGCTCGCTAAGCTGCTTTGAACCTGGGTCGCATATCTTGGAATCGAGCTATCATCGGCGTATACTGTACTAAGTACGTCCGGAGGGATTTGCTGCATCCCGGAGAGATGTCGGTCCCTTCCAGATTCATGAGGGATTGTCGGGTCATCTGGACATTGGACATTGGACATTGGATCACATTGGGCGGTGGATGTAGTGCCTTAAGCCGTACGGTTGAACCCGGATGACGAAGATCTGGGCTTCATGACGGACGCTAAATAGGACGACACATATCGCATGGATCGCGAGTTGTCCGGAATTGACGAAACAATTAAACAACATCCATACCTAACTAGTTCAAGCGGTCAATTAAGCGACGGTGGTTCTCACCCGCAATTGAGTTGCTGAAGTGGGAGGGAGATCATGCTGGTCCTTCTCATAGAATATCATAGTCGAGCAATTGAGCACCGATGATGTACAGCTACTCCAGTCCGAACGCTGCACCGACGTCGGCACCCAATCCCTTCTCCTGCACGATATGCAGTTATGCACCGTCTGCAGCGTCAATTCATGCAATACCGTTGACATGACCGAGCACAGATCACCCCAATGCAGGACATCCACCGTAGTTCGTTTCGACTTTCGAGGTTCGTCAACGTTTCGACATCTGATGACGGCCACAACATCGTTCCCTACCTCCGGGTCTCCATATCATTTTGTACCGTTGACGGACCCGCCCAACATCTGCTGTAGAACGACCACCGGGACCTGCTTTACCGTGTACCGTACCCATATGTCCACGTACCGCCCCTCACCGCCTCCGGTCCTCCCGTCAAGCAAGTTAGTAACCAGTCCACCCAGTTACGCGTCCCCGAAACCCCAACGACGGGAACCGCCGCCCGCCCGCCACTCCGCGACGTTGCACTCCACCCCTTCCCAGCACACTGCATCATCCGCCAAGGCCCAAAGCCTTCGCCTGCTTAGAAATACACCCCGTCAAGCAAACCATGTAGCTCCCTTGTCTCTCCTCTGACGCCACCGGAGCACCGGAGCTGGAACGTGGACTGAGCACTGCATGCATCTGCATCTCCCACTCCGCGTTGTACAGCCTCTATCCTAGGAAGCGGGACGAAACGCGCGATTTGCGCGCGGTCGACCAATGTGTGTTGGAGATAGTCGAGCTGGGAATACGTATCCATTCCGAATCTGACGATGACGGCTTCGCGCTGCTGATGCGAGCTATGTATCGATGCCGGGCCTCGATCTGCGACTGGAGAATTGGAGTACTGGTGATGAGGGACGCGTGCGAGGCCGAGGTGCGGCATGGCCATAGCGGTAGAGTAGAGGTGGACGACGTCTGATATCTAGCCGCATGGAGTTGCCGCTTTTGGAGGGGTGTTGGTTGACTTGCGTTACATTGATGAAGGATCGTTTTCATAGAATGTGGCGTGGGTAGTAGGGCTGTCTCGTGCAACAAGGAAGAAAGCTGTAATCTTGCAAACGACAGGGGACGCCGATGCGGCTTCTCGTTGAAATTCCGGCGCAGGGGATTCTTCGTTCTCGTCCTTCAGGGAGTGGAATCACGTGGATCGTACGAGGCTTGCTTGTAGGTACGATCCAATGCTTTTTCCGCCCCTCTGGGCCAGGCTTCGCAAACGGTTGATGCTTTCCTGTTAGGCAATGACATGATGTTCCTGTCGACTCTGCTCCCTGTCCTGGTCAAGGCATTGAGATCCATGAAATTTGAGATACGACGGCCGGGGGAAATCGCACACCAAAGTATTCTTTTGATACAAGAAGGAGCTCCCGTCTTCCCTAGTAAACAGTCCGATATGAATACAGAATCGTCGAAAAAGTACCAACACTCCACCGATTTCTGTTTCGCCCCTGAAGCCCATCGCCCAAAAAGAGTAGAGACTGTGCTATACGCCCCCATACGAACCTATATCCCTAGACATATAGGTGCGCGAACCCGAAATCAATCCATCCCCCATCGCACCCTCGCCGACGTCGTTTGGAGTGGTGGAAATCACGGGCCGGTGTGCGCCGCGGAGGAGAGCTCTTCGGAGGCGTCGGCGTCAGGAGAGGCGTCCTTGGGGCGGGAGAGTACGTCGAGGGTTTCTAGCAGTGTTAGCGGTATCCAAAGCTTGTCAACTTCCTCAATTCCATACTCTCAACAAGGTTAATCTGCACCCTTCGATTCCCATCCTTATCCTCAAACTCGGACATGCGCGCATCCGCCTCGACATGAATCAACGATCTATTCCCAAATTAGCCTTATCCCAAGTCCAAACCTCCTTTCTTCCTCCCAAAAACTCACCCCTTCTTCAACCCCAACCGAAAATCCCGCGCTCCCCCCTCCGCAAAGCTCGCTACGCGAAACCAGCTCGTCTTCCTATTCTCCCGCGTCCCCGACTCCGACGCCACTGCGTACCGAATCACGCCCCGCCCCGTCGCCGTCTCCACCAGCTCAGGGGCCTGGCCCAGTCGCCCGACGAGCATCATGCGCGCGAAGGAGGCGCGGGGGGTGGTGCTGAAGGGGCGGGGGAGGGGGGTGCGGAGGGTGCGGAGGGTTGGGCGGAGCATGGTTGTGGTGAGTGGTGGGTATATGGGGTGAGGGTCGTTTCGTCCGGTGGCGGTGGTCGATGTGGTGGTTTCGGATTGTTTGTAGTTCGGTTGATGTGGATGGAGAGTGAGGGGACGCGACGACGCGAAGTTGAGCGTCGGGGGTGAGCTTGGGCTTTTAGGGGTTCAGATGGGCGGGCCAATCAGCGTGGAGCAATGGTGACGACCAGATTCGTGCTTCATCGTCCGCGGTGATAACACAACGTCTGGTGTCCGAAATGGATATTATGGAGGAAATAGCCTTATGTAGCATGTTGAACTTGGTCTTCGTTCAGATAGGAATACGGTAACGTTAATCGTGATATCTCGAATTCGTAGACCGACCCACTGGACAGTCTCTTTTCTAACCACAGCGTGTGTGTGATATCCATCACTCGATTCCTATAAGCGATATCCCCGGACTCAGACCCGCCAATCTCCCCATTAAGCCATATCTAATCCTCATCCGAAGAGTCCTCCTCCTCAGACTCCCTCCCCTTCCTCCTCGTCCCCCTCCTCCCCGCCCCAATCATCCCCTCCTTCCCCACCCTCCCCACCTTCCCCTCCCCTCCCTCCTGCTTTCCCCAATCCCCTCTCCCAAACACCCACACCCTCGCCCCCCTCTCCTCCCCCTTCCACCCACCCCCACCCTCCAGCGTCCCCAGAGTCCGCGCATGCGTGTACCCCGGATACTCCTCAAACCGAAACTTCGCGCTCCGCACGCCCACCAACCCGGCGGTGCGCGCGAGGCCGCGAACGTCCCAGGCGGAGTAGGGGTGCCGCTCGAAGAGCGTTACATGGATCGTCCCCGTGCGCTCTTTTAAGAGTGGCGTGGCGGCCTGGAAGAATTGGAGGAGGAGTTCTGGGGGGGTTAGCGTTGCTCAAAGATAGGACGGAAAGGAATTCAGGGGAGGGGGAGTACCTTGGTTATGCCGGATCTGACGATCCTGATCGGTCGACTTGCCGCCGACGTGGGGGAAGTTGAAGATGATCTTATCGTACGGCGCGTGGTTGCGGATGGGTTTCTGCTTCAGCTTGGTGGCGTCGACGGTGAAGAGGAGGGGCTGCTCGGCGGCGCGGATGGTTTGGAGGTGGGTTTCCGCGATGGAGTATCTTGATGAGGTTAGCAAGCTGCTTTTTTCTTAAACAATTTACGCGGGATTTTGGTTAAGGAGTCGTTTGGTAGGGCGATATCAGAAAGGAGGTGGGCGACCTACTTTCGGATTACCTCTTCCTCGCTGTCGAAGGATGTCGCAAGGAGGTCGGCGGCACCGTGATGCTCGACTAACGATGCTGCGAATGAAAAATCTCCTACTTCACATTAAAATCTATAATTGCATCTCAGACCGCAGTTCACTCACCCTCGCCAACCAGCAGCACCCGATCGAACGGGTCATATTCCACCGCATCGTGAGCGGGATGCTGGGTCACTGCGGGGGGCTTTGCTTTCTTCCCCGGCGCGGCGGCGGATTTGGATTTTTTGTGCGAGCGGGGGTCGGCTTTGGACCGGGTTTGGTCGAGTTTTCGTTTTTTGCCCATCTTTGTGGATTCAGTTGTGGTGGAGGAGGGAATTTGCAGGCTGAGATCGAAGGGTTTTCTTTGGTGGATGGGAGGATCGTGAGATGGTACGGCGCGCGTCCGGAGCCGGTCAAATAATGGTCACTATAATTCTATCTCCAAAAATGGAAAAATCAAGGTAAACTGTGTCTTTATGCATTTCTACATGATATTCCCATATCAAGGTTGTCCCGACATGCAAATCTAAAATCCCACGGTTCTATCCAGCGCCGATCCATGCAATGCAACGTACCCATCCAATATCATCCCATCATGGCTCATAATCCACATCTTCGCCCAACCACTTGCTCATATACGGTCCATCCAACCAATACCCCAACTTCCCATAATAGCTCCTCACCCCAACCCCGGAGATGACCGCGATCTTCCGACTCCCATGCTCCTCCCGCGCAATCCGCTCCGCCTCCTCCATCAACAGCGTCCCATACCCCTGATGCTGGAACTTCTTCGGGTCCCGCGAATGCACCGGCACCGCCAGCCCATAGACATGCAGCTCGCGCACCAAGCTCGTCGGCTGCTCCACCAGCTCCTTTCGGAACGTGTGCGTCGCGCTGCACTTTCGTAGTCGTAGTAGCGCGATCAGGATGTCCTGCTTCGGGTCCTCGTACGCGAGGAACGTCTCCCACCCCCCGTTCGCCGCGTAGTCCCGGCGCACCAGCTCGACCTGCGATGGACGGATCTTGTTCTTCACCTCGTTGACACCCACTTCGCGCGTGCGCACGTCGCGACATGTGGTGCCGAAGTCTTTCATGCGGGCGAGGGCCAGCTCGCGGAGGTTGCCGTTTTCGACACCGGAGGTGACGAGGGGCATGGGGATGTCACGCTGTACGCGGTAGATGCGCGTCCACGGGGGCACCAGCGCGAGGATGCGGGCGACCAGATCGATCAGCGCGTTGGGCGTGTAGTTCTGGTATCGCCCAGTACGCCAGAGTTCGTACAGTCCCGTCCCGCGGATGACGAGCGTGGGATATATCTTCAGCCCGTCGGTGCGGAAATCAGGGTTCTCGAAATACTCGCGGAACTGATCGATGTCTCGCTCCATGCCCACGTTCGGAAGGTCAGGCATCATGTGGCTGACCACCTTGAACCCCGCGTCTTTCGCGAGCTTGAACGTTTCCGCCACCGCCTTCACTGTGTGCCCTCGGTTCGTGTCCCGCGCAACATCCTCGTAGAGCGACTGCACCCCGATCTCGAGACGGGTGCAACCGTACCGAAGCATCGCGCCGAGATGCTGATCCAAGCAATAATCTGGTCTCGTCTCGATGGTGATACCCACGCATTTGATGTTGCTCATTTCCCCCGCGGCGACCGCCTCGTCGACGTTCTTTGTGGAATATCCACTCAGCGCGTTGTGCAGTTGCGCGATGAACTCGTCCCGGTAGCTCTCCGGGAGCGACATGAACGTCCCGCCCATGATAATGTACTCCACCTTGTCCACGCTGTGGCCTAGCGACTTGATCTGCTCGACGCGACCACGCGCTTGCTCGAACGGGTCGTAGCGGGCTCGGATGGCGCGCATGGACGTCGGCTCGTAGCCGGTGTAGGATTGAGTGGAGTATTCGAAGTCAGAGTCAGGGCCACCGGGGCAGTAGACGCAGATGTTGCCGGTGAAGGAGATATGTGGACATCGGTGCGGTTTGCACATTACCGCCACTACGGCGATTCCAGAAGATGTGCCTATACAAGGTCAGACTAAGTTCTCATGCATATAGAACGTTAAACTTACGGATTGGTTTAGCAATGAGTTTCGGGAGGATGTATCTCTTGTAGTGCTCGGGCACTGCAGCGATGATGGCGGTGAGTGGCGGTTGGGTGGTGAGGTAGTATTTCTTCGACATCTGCCCCCGCAGATGGTTGAGGTTGAGGTCTTTCTTTGCTTTCGAGCCATTGGATTGCGCCTCATGGTCTTCGATCAGGGCGTTCGCGATATCCGCGCACGCCCGCATGTACCGTTCATTTTCTGGGGGGAGTTTGAGGTTCTTCGGGCGACGCTGCGGACGCTGTTGGGTGACGGTCACGGTGGCCATGTTTCCAGATATTCCCAAGATTTGTATAATGGTGCGACAAGCATGTCACATTCCACACTATTTCAACGAGGGTATCGGAGCATGAAGCGGTGAGGAGGGAAGATCGTTGTGGCAGTCGCGATGGATTTTAACCGTTGACTCGGAATGGAAATGTTGAAAAGAGGGAAGGTGGGTCCACATGCCAAGATTTGCCTGGGAGCGACTTCCCCAACTTGCTTCACCCGTCATCTTTGCCAAAACTCCAAAAGGAAGTTCTATCACAACACGAAATCCAACGGGAGGCCTTCGAGTTCCATATATTCTTCTCCCCTCCCATCCATTCCTTCGCCTCATCTACCCGGTGTGTTGCCCCTTTGCCAACCACCAACACGCGACGATGCAGGCTTTCCGATCTCCCCTTTGCCGGGCCGCAAGCTCCCTCTGCCGGACACGCGGCTATGCCACCTCCAGCCCGATCTACTCGGAGACGGCCAAGAACCTGCGCATCACGAAGGACACGAAGGTGTTGTTTCAAGGCTTCACGGGGAAACAGGGAACGTGAGTGGGCCGGATACCGGTGCGTTGACGGAAATTGGGTTGACAATGGGCTAGGTTCCACGCGGAGCAGGCGATCGCCTACGGTATACATGTTCGATGGATTGGACTTGCGGCATTTCTGATATCGTATAGGCACCAGAGTCGTTGGCGGCACAAACCCCAAGAAGGCGGGAGAGACCCATCTAGACAAGCCGGTGTTTGCTACCGTTGCGGATGCTGTGAAGGAAGTTGGCGCCGATGCTTCAGCTATCTTCGTACCGTATGTGGATATGATTCCTTGGAGATATTAATCGTACTGATATTTCAAAGACCTCCGGTAGCAGCGAAGAGCATCGAAGAAGCAATTGCGGCTGAGGTGCCATTGGTGGTTTGGTGAGTCGATCCATTCGGCCCGGTGGAAATCGCTAATCATTGTAGCATCACCGAGGGTATCCCACAACATGGTAAGAAGTTCACCAGATGTCCAGAATTACCTTGCTGATAGACATAGATATGATCCGCGTTACCGATATGCTTAAGACCCAAAACAAAACCCGATTGGTTGGACCCAACTGCCCCGGTATCATTGCTCCTGTAAGCTCCTTCGCCTTTCAAGCATCTCACTATACTAACAATGAAAAGGGTCAATGTAAGATCGGCATCATGCCCGGATTCATCCACAAGCGCGGACGCATCGGCATTGTCTCCCGATCCGGCACCCTCACATACGAAGCCGTGAACCAGACGACGCAAGTCGGCCTCGGGCAATCGCTCGTCGTCGGAATCGGCGGCGATCCGTTCTCGGGCACCAATTTCATCGACTGCTTGAACGTGTTCCTGGAAGACCCGGAGACGGACGGGATCATCATGATCGGAGAGATTGGCGGGTCAGCGGAGGAAGAGGCCGCGGACTTCTTAAGGGCGAACAATGTGAATAATATCCCAGTGGTTAGCTTCATTGCCGGTATCTCGGCGCCGCCAGGGAGGAGAATGGGTCACGCCGGTATGTCTACTTCTTTATTTTCGTATTCTACGGTGACCGTCCTACTAACGTTCTGTAGGTGCCATTGTCAGCGGCGGGAAAGGAGACGCAAACTCCAAGATCAATGCTCTCGAGGCCGCCGGCGTCACCGTCGAGCGAAGCCCTGCATCGCTTGGAAAGACGCTACATGCCGAGTTTGTCAAACGGGACATGATATAGACCAGGCAAAACGGGGTTGTAGTCCGGACGAGGCCTTCGTTCTAATGTGTTGTTTCTAGGAGGTCATATATTTCTGCTGCTGTCTGATATCGGTCCGTCGGTTTGCTCTGGCATAGGCGATGCATGTTCTGGCTTTGGACATTGGACAGTGTCCGTTCTTGTAGTTTTATTCCGTTTCAATGAGCCTTTTCCCAGCCATTACCAATATCGATACTTTGTCGCAACTCGCATCGGTTGGAGCGCGGTGTAGAATCAGAACATAAACCAGACCGCCGTAACATTTGAAAGTTACTTTTAAGCTTCTCCTTCTGAGTTTAGACACATGAACCTCCTCGGCGGACATGGAAGTTGGTTGGGAATGGTGGATGCCCCATGATCTCGGCACGGAGATTCATACAACGACACTTACCGTACTCGCTGCAACGGACCTTATAGTTAATTATCCTGTCATCGGTAACCTTCGATACCAGTACCATTGATTTCGCTATTCATTCCAAATTCCCTTCCGTGACCGCCAAGGGAGCGAAGCTCCAATCAATAATAAGCTTATCCGGCGAATATCCCTGCAACGGGACAGCTTCCGTCAACCGACCCGACCAACGATCCTCCGCAGAGACCAGGTTGCTTGTTTCGACTTTCGAGCGCATCTTTAAAAGCGTCCAGGCAGCATCAGGTCCTGTCCTTAGCAATGTTTTCCTCGTCGCATTCGTGATAGATCATCGAGCCGGCACACTCGACGTCATGTCTGGTACTATGGGTTGGGCGATGCGCCAGTGGTTGAGTGCGTCATTCCACATTGCCGTTCGCATCGATGGACAACTAACGCCACTCAAATAGAGCGAGAGACTGAAGATGCGGATCCAGACGGTTCGGAATCCCGGGAAGTTAGAAGAAGCAGGATATCGCTGACGATCGCACAGAGACGGGCGCGGGCCAGAAGGAAATCTTCGCCTCTTGGTCGCTGTTCATCCTCATCGGCTTGCTCATCATCGCGCTCTTCACCAGTTATGTGCTGCAGACGCGCCGCATCCAGGCGGTCCACGAAACCGTCATTTCGATCTTCGCCGGTACGTTGCTCCCCGAAGGCGACGCCCAGAGATTTGCAGCGCTGACTAGCGATAGGGATGGTCGTCGGGCTGATCCTCCGATTGACCGCCGTGCAATCCGTCCTCGGGGCCGTGAGCTTCGACTACCAGTTCTTCTTCAACCTCCTCCTCCCACCGATCATCCTCGCGTCCGGCTATGAGCTGCACCAGGGGAACTTCTTCCGCAACATCGGCACCATCCTCACCTTCGCGTTCGCCGGAACCTTCATCTCCGCCATGGTGCTCGGCGTCATCCTATGGCTGTGGACCCGCATCGGCCTCGACGGCATGGACGTCACCTTCGTCGAGACCATGTCCGTCGGCGCAACCCTGTCCGCCACCGACCCCGTCACCATCCTCGCCATCTTCAACACGTATAAGGTCGATCCGAAGCTGTACACCGTCATCTTCGGCGAGTCGATCCTCAACGACGCCATCGCCATCGTGCTGTTCGAGACGGCGCAGAAATACAAGGAGGGCGCGCAAGGGGGGAAGCTGACGGTGTTCAGTCTTTTCGAGAGTATCGGGGTATTCTTGCTCGTGTTCTTTGGCAGCTTGGTCATCGGGCTAGTGGTGGGCATGATGACCTCCTTGATGCTGAAGTTCACCATGGTCAGGCGGTTCCCAAAGATCGAGAGCTGTCTGGTTATATTGGTGGCATATGCGAGTTACTTCCTCTCAAATGCCATCCACATGTCTGGTAAGTACTGCAAGTATCATCATTCGCCTTTCCCGACTAACCGTAACAGGAATTGTGTCGCTCTTATTCTGCGGCATTTGTATGAAACATTACGCATACCACAACATGTCACGGCGAACGCAACTTACGACGAAATTCATTTTCCAAGTCATGGCCCAGTTATCCGAGAACTTTATCTTTATCTACCTAGGATTGTCGCTGTTCACCGAAACCACGCTGGAATACAAACCGATGTTCATCCTGGTCACCGTGGTCGGCATCTGCGTCGCGCGATGGTGCTCCGTCTTCCCCCTTTCCAAAGCCATCAACTGGTTCCTCCGATACCGTGCCCGACGACAAGGCCGCGAAGACACGGCTGATGAACTCCCCTTTGCATACCAGGCCATGCTCTTCTGGGCCGGTTTACGTGGAGCCGTCGGCGTCGCTCTGGCAGCGGGTCTGACCGGCCCGAACGGAACCGTCCTCCGGGCCACCGTCCTCGTCGTGGTCGTCCTGACCGTGATCATCTTCGGCGGTACGACGGCGCGCATGCTCGAGATCCTCGGCATCCGCACCGGCGTCGTCGAGGAAATCGACTCCGACGACGAATTCGACATCGAGGTCGTCACTGGTGGCACCTACTCCCGCCGCCAAGGCGCCGGCTTCGGCCACACCCCCCGCGCCTCCAACGCCACCAACGGCTTCCCCCTCTCCCCCGTCGACGCCCGCGAACCCCTCCGCCGCAACGACTCCTACAGCAGCGGGCACATCAACGGCAACCGCCGCGTCCCCGCGTCCCACTCCGACGGCATGCGCCGCAGCTCCCCCCGGAACCTCCGCACCCAGGATAGCGCCGAGCAAGCCCTCCTCAGCCCCGGCGACAGCGGCAGCAACGACGACGATGACGACGCCGACGGCCTCGACCTGCCACCGACCGTGCGCCGCTCCCCACTGCGGAATGTCTCGCCCCTTCGCTCCTCCCCCGACGACCATGACGCGGCGTACCCCACGTCCGGCGCGCGCGAGCACGCGGAGGGACATTTCGAATCGGCGGCGCAGCGGGTGGCGAGCGCAACGGGGGCGATGGGAAGGTTTGTGAGCGGGTTGTCGGAGGATCCGGCGGCGGCGTTTCGGCAGATTGATGAGGGGTTTATTAAGCCGCATTTGTTGCTGGATCCGGGGAAGGGGGGCGGGCCGTCGGGCGGGTCGCCGGTGTGAGGATTTTCTTTTCTTTACTGTTTGCATGACGAGCGATGGGGCTCGGGGCGCATTGGGTGGTATAGACGCATGGCGTTCGGGTTTGGGTTGGACGTACGGTTTGGATGAATGTACTGTACCGTATCTGCAAGTACATAGTTTAGATGGCGATGCAGCGCTGCGTGAGAAGCTTATAATGCGCTGTATGATCACTATAGGCTATGTAAATACCATCTGCGATCAACGAAAACTTTCATCTCCTTTTACGTCCGTATATCGAAGACACGATGATGCCAAGCCAATGGGATTCCGTATGGAGTTAGCCGACATCGGGATTGCGGGATTTGTGGATACACAATGTTTGTTCCCGCGTCACCCAACGATGCTCCTTCCATCGCCAAAAGTCCCGATCCTATCGGGCAGTGTTTGAATGGCTGAATATGAATAAACTCGGGGAAGGGAAAAGTATGAAACGGGGTGGAACTGCTGCGTCTCCCCTTTCAACCACGAAAACGACGCGTTGAGAAGGGCTATTGGACATTGATAAGGCATAATGCCGCAACTCGAGCCTTGGAAGCAATCCGCGTAAGTCACGCCTAAATACTCTCAGGGCTCAGCCCCTTCGTATATATTGCTGGCGAAGGAATTTAATACTAATATGATCATAGGTCACCCGCCGGCACGACTGAGCAGCTCGCACACGCGATCAAAGAGCATGGCGTGTGCCCGTTGTGTAAGCAGCCGATGGGAGAGCAGCACGGCGCGAATTGCGGCGTCGCGAAAGTCCCGGACCGGGGTGGGCAGGGTGTGGCGATGTCAGGTCGATTGACTTCTCAGCTGGGTGAGGAGTCCAGGAGAGAGAAGGGTGTCGCTGAGTCTCGGTATGTAAGAGTTGTGCATATAGTTTATCTGCGTCTCCCCGTCTGTCGTCGACTTTATCGCTAACGATGCCTACTTCAGGGGTCAGTCTCATGGGAGAACTTGGAATACCAAGAATCTTGGGTTAAGATCGCTTTCCGATGTCGTTGCTGCGGCCACTGCGGGTGTACTTGTTGCGCCTGTTGTAACGACGATCGATAAGTGAGTTGTTCCTTTTCGATATGAAATCATGAAGCTCATGTCGAGTATAGAGCTATTATCGAGAATACTTCCGGGAGAAATACCATGAGAGAAAGCATCCGCTCTTCCCTCCAGACTCTTCTCCTCCGCCCTCACCACTTCCTCTCCTCCCGTCCATTCCGTCTCATCTTCACCCTCTACTCCGGCACCTACCTCACCGCCAACTGGCTCGACACCGCCTCCTCTACCCTCCACTCCACCCCCGCCCCCACCACCACGCACGGCGCCCCCAAGTTCCTCGCCACCTCCGCCGCCAATCTCTCCCTCTGCCTCTACAAAGACGCCCAGTTCACCCAGCTCTTCGCCTCCCTCCACTCTGCGCCCCGCCCCGTCCCGCTCCCCTCTTTCGCCCTTTTCTCCCTCCGCGACTGCCTCACCATCTTCGCCTCCTTCAACCTCCCCCCGCTCATCGCGCCGCATCTCCCGATGCATCTTGCCCCCGCGTTAGAGGAGCGTGTGAGCCGGACCAGCATGGCGCAGTTTCTGGCGCCCGCTGGCATCCAGGTGTTTAGTACCCCGTTGCATTTGCTGGGTCTAGATCATTATAATCGGCCGCACGCGTCGTGGCGGGAGCGGCTCGGGAAGGTGGGTAAGGAATGGGGGGTGAGTTGCCTCGCGCGCATGTGTCGCATTGTTCCAGCGTTTGGTGTTGGGGGCGTGGTGAATTCGGGCGTTCGGCGGCATTGGATGGAGAAATGGGAGTAGATTTGTAGAGCTATCAATGACTCGGTTGTGGGATCACCAGTTGGCGTTCGAGCATCTGATTAATTTGTTCATGGGATTGTTCTATACTCTTACTCGGGCGTGGAATATAGAAGGGGCATAGTGGATATCGCATCAAAGAGTGCCAGAGGAACGTTCGTAGGAAATATAAATGCTTCGTGAGCACATTGAATTGTTTCGTAAATCGTAATGACCTACCCTATCAGCTCTTCTTTCTCTTCCTCGCCCGGTTCTTAGGAACCTTGTGAACACGAGCTATACTGGTCCACCAAATCCAACTCATGAACAGCACGAGTAATCCTACCACTACACAAGTGGGCCAAAATCCCAAAGATGAATTCAGTACAGCGATGACAACGGCCAGAGAAATTACTCCAAGCAAAGGTATCCAATTTTGTAGAAGCAGAGAAATTTGCAGCTCATTCCGCCAGCAAAACTCATCCCATAGCCACGGGTTCGTAAACCACGTCCAGCGTTCGTATCGGGCCTCAAGGCTGTCCGGTCGGGTCAGATTGAGTTCTAGTTTGAGTAGCCTTTCATCCCAAAACGGCTTTAGGTAGCCATCCTCATCGTATGGCTCTTCGCGTAGCCATCTCAACCACCGCAGCCTAACTCGTTCGGCGTGTTCGGCGGATACGCGATAGTATTCCTTGTGTGATATTGAACAGATTCCGCATCGCACAGGCGTCTCTTGGCGATCGGCCAACTCTTTGAAACAGAGCTGTTCTGCGAGCATATACAAGCCTTTGATCCAGAGTTTGGTCCCTGCTTTGAGTTCGTAGGCATCTCTTTCGCACGGTCGCCGGCTGCTAGTCGTTCCCGTCGTGCAGCCGATCTTCACCAAGGGGGGATTCTCCATTTTATGCTTCCAGATATATACTGTGCCGTCATCGTGAATGATATTGGGGTGTGACCTCGGTCCTGTTAACAACCTTTTCCTAATCTCATCATCGATTCGGCCAGGTTCGATGGGGGGCTTTGGTCGCGGAGATGGTTGGTTAGATGCCACACCTTCGCCGGCAGGCGTATTCAAGGGATGCACAACATTGGGACTGGAGATCCCTGCTCTAGCCGGAAGATTGTTAATAAGCCTGAATATGGGCAGGAGGAAACCCCTCCACATGTCATGATGTACCCGACTATCAGGGCTCGGTGTGAGAGGGATCTCTGTTGTCGATGCAGTCCCGTCCAGTTGTATTGCACCAGGTATTTCCGACGTTTCATATACTTCCTCCGAACCCCCATGCGATCTCATCCATTTCCCGGTGCTAGAATGTGCTCCACTCCTCGGACTCGGTGAGAGAGGGGTTTCTGGCATCGATACAGACCCATTCAGTTGCATTCCGCTGGGCATTGTTCGGTACCCGCCATACACTTCATCCGCCCCCTGGCTATGGGGTCTCCGCCCTCTCACTGGCGGACGACGCGCGGGTGTGGTAGAAGCCTTAGGCGAATTTGAGCCATTGGCGGACCGAGGCGGGCTCGAAGGAATAGGATGTGATATACGTCTGCCGGTGATTGCGGATACGGGCGAATTCTGTCGATTCAGCGGGGGGCGGTAGTATCGCCGTTTGCTGCTGGCGCCATCATGTTCAGAAGGTAGCTGGGTGCTGCTGGAGGGATTCTGTGTAGATGGACTTGTTGGAGGGGACTGCCCTCGCAGAATGGACCGCCGCCTTGGAGTGGACTGCCTCCGTGGAGTGGACTCCCTCCGTGGAGTGGACTGCCTCCTTGGAGTGGACAGGCTCGTCGGAGGGGATTGCGCAAACGACAAAGATCGTACGGGCGAGGACGGCGGTGTTTTGAAACTGGGTGTCCTCGAATGCGGGCTCTGTTGTAGAGTAGTACCGATTTTGAAAGGATCGGATTGAGTGTCATCGTCCGTAGGGGCATCTCCATTATCCCCAGAGCAGTCGTTATCATCGTCGGGCTCTTCTCTGTCGTTCAACCCCCAAACTCCGAGTATCTTCATAGCAGGCGTCTGCGTCCTCGTATGACGTCCACACAAGACAATTGACAACAGCTGTTCGCGGAAATCATGCGTCGGTCGCTGAATGGTGCAGAGGAGATTCCTTATACTGCTGCGTATTTTACTGCGCTTCATCAAGTTGGATGAGCAGCGCGGCCCATTTTTGGTGGGAGCAATGCATGTCAATCCATCAAGATGTCCCGCATGTGTTTCATGAATTTCAAGCAACGTTTCACCAAACGATAGAATTTTGTACTCCATAATGTCCGGAGATAAAGCGCAACGACAACATATACCAAGCAGAATGAGAAAGCTGACTTTCAGTTAGGCTAAATACTGCCTGCGAGCGATGAACTGGATGAGAGTTCGTCGGACGACTTGGAAGAAGCAACGCATATTGCACAGACAAAAGGAAGAGCACGGAAGACAACCGAGCCACTGGCTGCTGTTTGAGAACTACATCAACCGGTGAGGAGAATTACAGGAACTGTACGCTATGGCACATCATATCTCTGGCAACCCTGAACGAGGAGTTTAGTATATTCTATGCAAACGAGAAACCACAGGTCGGAAAGTTAGGGTGATAAAATAGGGGGCTGACGAGTATAGACCAACAGAAAGGCGTGAGCGATGCGAGAAATTACGAGGGTACCATTTATAGAGTGGTTCGCAGGTGGTAAAGGCTGTAACGAATGCTGTGTTGGAGCATTTTTCGCTAGGATTATACAGGGGACCCTGCATAATATGTGCGGCACAGTCGAGGCTGGGGCACTTGTAGGCGGCCTCCGCACTAATTGCTCTGATCGCACCACTCATATGGGGGGAAGACTTTCGTAAGGTCACCGATTGAAGCATTTTCAAGCCGTTGCTCTCTAGCAGAGGCGTCGAGACTTGTTGCTTGGCCGTCTTGCGCGTCTATCACATCGCTCGTGTATGGTAGTGAGAAGGGCCAGCAACATCTATTCCGTATAGTAAGTGCTCAGGACTTTCTGTTAGCCTGGCCTGAGTGCCGTTTATAAACCTCGTCTGCCGACTTGTCGCCGAAATGATTGTCGGTAGAGGGCGTTATAAGGTGAGTGAGTAGATGAAGTTAAAGCGGATGGCGTTTAAGCTCTCGGCAATGTTTCGAGCAGCTCGGCTTCTCTCAACCGCTGCGCCAACTGTCGGATGAGCCACTCTGGTATACCGACAAACTCAGTGCTGTGGCCTCTTCAAACGGCCCAATCAATACTCCTTAGTTGGAATCTTTATATCGCCAGTCGATCCACGCTGGTCAACGAGAAATCGTAACCGTTAGGTTCTAGCGATACTTGTTGCACCATCGCAAACTCTCCGAGCCACATTAGTTGTATGCCCCTGAAGAGTCGCTCGCCAAGACTCTGGATCTTGATCGTAAGGTTGACCTCCTGATACATCGCATCGTTCTGAATCTTAATAAACCTGGTGGTAGCCATGTCGAGACTGTCCTGTTAATCGAATGCAAAAGGGCGTCAGCTGCTAAGGGTAACCTAGTGACGGTAGAAGATCAAGCCCTGATGCCTGGAGCTATTACTGCCAAGAGTCTGGAAACCAAGGACGAATGTAAATGTGACCACTGGCTGAATATAAAGAGAACGCGGATACCAATGCCTACCTGGATGCCTGCGATGATCGGGTTCTCCAGGTTCTTATGGATATCAAACTCCAGTCTTGCGCACTGATCTGACCTATGTATGTGAAGACCGAGCATAGTTGCGAGAACCAGCAACAAAGCAATCCGGGGCCAAAAAGGGGAGTAACGAGGTTGTCGTTGTTGCTGTGAGTGTTCTTGTTGGCCTTGGACATAACTCTTGTCACGTTTAATGAGGAGACACATCCACGTTCACCTAGCTCCCACTGGAGATATTCCTCGCCATGAAGATTGATGGGGATAGGGTCCTGATCTTCTCGCCACTCGCCGATCACCGCAATAGAATTGTCCTTGTAGGTAAAATTAATGCCAGTGCGGGTCGACTTTTTCCACTGATAAACCGATGTCTTGACCGTCACAATGCCTGTGAGACTTGCTTCAGAATAGTACCATTCCACGCAGTCGGCGAAACGTACGGCTATGAAACTAGGACATTGGGCGTGAGCTTCAGGAAAGGGAGGTGGTTCTTCATCATCCCGAACTGCGGAGTGCGGCTATCACTGTGTTCATAATGTACACCCACCGTTAGGAGTTCCTGAGAGGATTCAACGCCGTCGTCATTATAAAAAATCATCGCGATATCGCCATCCGGTCTTCCTAAACGTGTGGCGCCAAATTGCAGGTTTTTATCATTGTAAGGGCCGAAATAATGCGATAGACTCGACTTCATCTGGATCTAGATCGATATTAGTAGGTGGCAAGATTCCAAGGATTATGGACGCTCACCAGGAGCGAGTTAAAATAAGTGGCTGAGTGATTTAGAAGCCATATACAGTCGATCGTATCGCGTCCCCAAATAGGGAAGTAGTCGGAAACATCTGCGCTTCTGCTGCAGTTGTCGAAGACCTCCCCTTTATTGTGCGCTTGATGGGCGTGGATACAAATAATTCCTCGGGGTGATGAACACACTGTAATCCCACAAATATCTTGGACGGACAGAAAGACGAAGCGCTGGCTTTGCTCCGGCTTACGCAAGAGGAAAATGTCGCGAGGCGGATTCGGGATATTGCAGAGGAACTGTCGCGAGGCATTAGGAATGTCGATATTCGTGACGAACAATGGCTGCCGGGCATTATTAATAGATACTCGCCATCGACAAGGACCGGGGCACTTACCGTACGCTGGATAGCGATGGCGGGTTGAATATCAGTGTCGATCTCGAAAATCCGGTACCATCGAGCGAACTCGCACACATGGCCTGGCTCTTCCGGCTGGTCATAGCATTGGATATCAATGACCCCAAGCTCATCCTGGGTGACAATAACCTTGCGCGCGCATCGACTGCCCTCGATCTGCGACAAGCCTGGACCTTTGTCCGTTCGGATTTGCGAAATATACCTCACCCCAGCTATGTTCTCGATATAGCTCGCGAAAGCGCAGGAATCCCAATTCCAGCGATCGCATCCATTGATCGAGGATGCCCATAGTGATCTTGACGGGCCGATCCCGATATTAGGCCACAGGAAATCGCAGATATGCATGCAAATCCCCAGTGGAAGTTTGTCGAACAAGGAGACGCGAAAAAACTCGGTGAAAGAATCCAAAAACAGCCGCTTGCTTCTCTTCTGCCGCCTCGACTCACTCCATGGGATGATAGGAATGAAGGATTCCGCAATATATTGGACTATGCGATCTGAGTGGGCCTGATCAGAAACCTCCAGTTTGTCCCTCAGGAATTCATAACATGGCCGATGTACCACATATCCAAGAAATTCAGTCTCTGAGCATTCATGGCAGCAAACTCCGCGGAAACACAGCTGGTAAGGACCGGTTTCAATAGGAGTGCCATATGGAGGTGGGATGCTTAGCGAGTCTCCTTAGATTCCCGGTCCGAGTGGGTGCGTCTGTTGAGTCGGATGGATGACTTAGGAGCGAGTCAGTTTTGGATACGTGGGCGCTCCATGCAATATACGCACTTGCATACGGTCCATCTCCAACACGGAAAGTCTGAAGGCATAACGAGCAATACTCCTTGGTTAGAAGGCGGACATGATACATGCTGTCGCTGTCACGAGTCTTAGGTAAAAGGAAGTGTATGATAAGCAGTAAGAGAGTGCAGATTGCGGAGCAGTTTTCTGGGTTTAAGGTCAGTTTAGGTTTAATAGCAAATCTTCGACCACTTGCCAACGTCTAAGTTGGGTTCACCAATCGATTTCTTTCTGCTACACATGTGTAGTTGTGTTACATGTCACTGTATGAGTGGCTCATACTTCGTAGTAGACTCTGGTAACCCCATCTTTGCAAGGCGGAATGACTTCAATTGGCAACTCAAACTCAATCAACCCACGCTCTAGGACTTCTCATATTTATAAATGCAGTGGAATATCCTCTCTAACTACTCCTCCCCTGTTATCGCCCTTACTGCACAAATATTTCCTCGACTTTGTTGCTCCTTTACCTTGTGTTTGCCCACGTTGCTCAACGACTGTAAACATTTCTTCTGGAGCACACAGTCGGCACTCGGCTGCGAAACTGGCTTCCTCCCTCCAGGCTGCTAGAAATTCTCAGTCCAGCTACCAAGTATAATACCACTCAGTGCTGTAATGGAAGCTGAATCGTCAATGTCAACAAGCCACTTCAAGATCTGGGATGGATCTCACAGACAAATATCTAGTACCGGACGAACGAAAGATGAAGAAGGAAAACAGGAAAGAGGAACAGAGGGAGAGATATAATATACAGGAAGCGGGACTGTGAATCACCACGTGATAACCCCTATTATAACACATATTGTACATCCAATCCTCCGAATCTGAATCGTAAGAATCTCTCTCTCTCTGAATCGTATCGTGAGGCATCCATATCAGACCATAAGGCAACAATCCCTCAATGCCTCAAAGCACGAAAAGCACGACCGTGAAAGAGCCAATCAATAAATCTGATGAGGCGAGATCAGTTACGAATAATGAACAGTGGAAAAGTCGCTGCATGCAGTGCCTGGGTAAGTGGGCCGAAGGCAACTGAGCCATGTAATGCTAAGATGCTTGAGTGAGAGGTTAAACCCCTAGAGGTTAGTGGGTTAACTCATCATGCTCCATACGGTAGAACACGGCCTTGCTGCGGGAGATCTACGCGTAGTCAATTAGCTTCTCGTGAGTCTCCAGCACATTTGACTACGTGATTGAACATGTCAAGCGTTCTTTACCTTTGCTAAGCGACCTATAAAAAGTATATTGCCGTACACATGACCCAAAGTGCTTATTGTACTTGGGCAATCTATGCCCTAAGACCTAAGTCGGAGAGACCCCTGCAGTGCGGCGTACGCAACTTTGAAGGCAGGAACGCCTGGCGCTAAAGCCTTACTATGTACAAACATAGATCGCCACGGTTATCATTCAGTGCTGCTACTATCAGTGAGTCCAGCTTAAAATAATATCGCTCGTACTACTTATGAATAAGGGAGGGAAAGGTATCCGATTTCATATCGAAACCCTAGTACAGGACCAACGGAATCGCAGCAGAGTGGTTTTCTTATCTCTATACTCTACACCTCCCAATTTCTCAGTGTCGATGTCCTGCACCTCCTGCATACATTCTTGACGCACCTGATAGCTTTACCAGACTATTGTTTCAGGTCTACCTGTCTAGTGCCTGGAGCACGCCAGTTACTAGCATCAGCTACTCCGGGCCTCCTCTCATGTCTTCTGATCTATTGTCACCGACACAGGATGCTAATCTAGGATCTATTGTCTTTTTAAGAAGTGAAAAGATCCTTCTGTCTCCACGCGGCCAGATGTTGTGGACTACATACAACTCGACCATCTCTATGAACTAAGCCAGCAGCTCTAGTTGGCACACCAGGCAATGGCGTACAATCCGGGTGTATCCTTCTTCATCTCATTCCACGAACTGGATCCCTCAAGGCAAAAGCAATGCATATTTTTCACCCAGAAGGGCGCAAGATGCCGATGGCCTTGCCAAAAAAGCGACAACAGCAAGGCCATCGCACTTCGAAAAACTATCATTGAAATCTCTAGTGAGGCTGTCAGTCTCGATCTGCTTCAAGAATATGTGTTGTGCAATTGCTGCAGATCAGGTCGTGCTCGACATCGGGATCGTATAGAGGACATCGGTCTTCTAATACCACTGGCCCAGCGATGGCAAGATGAGATACAGAGACACACCGCCAACCAATCCAGATATACAACTTCTGTCCCAGCACTTGAGGAGAGCATCTACATCCCAGATGCTTACAACGGCACGGTCACTCCAACTCCCAGTCGCACTACACCACTCTACACCCCTACTGTTAGCCCATCTTACTACCAATCCAGAGCGAGAACGTCCTTTAGTATCAATACAAAACCCTCCACGCCTGTCGCGAGCTTAACACCCTACCAATATAGTTCCCCGAGATCTTCAGCCATTACTGATATCGCATTTCAACCTTTTGGAAGCCAACCGCGCTACAACCTCCGCCCTCCAACAGCAAACCTCTCCACAAACTCTACCTTAACCAAAGCCACATTCAGCTCTCAGGTCTCCCTATCTGAATTCCGCCCCCACGTATCAGATCCCCTTCCCAGCGACTCCGTCTCCTGGAGAGTCCTCAAGCTCCTTGAAGACCGGGACTTCGAGACTGGCTCGGTCTACATCTTCGACCGAGCTTCTTCTCCGGGCCACGTAAAAATCGGTTGGACCGCAAGGTCCGTCTCGCTCCGTCTCGAAGATTGGTCAAAGTGCGGATACAGACCGAACCTATTGTTTCGCGTAGACCGTGTTCCGCACGCCCAGCGAGTCGAGACCCTCACACACCACGAGCTGCTTAAGGAATGGCGCCGGGAGAGGATGTGTAAGGCCGCGTGGTGTCGGAAGAGTCATCAGGAGTGGTTCGAGGTTAGTAAAGAACGAGCGGCGCAGGTGCTGGGTGATTGGGCAGAGTTTATGAGAATAGCTAGGCCATATGATTTGGGCGGGCGGTTGAAAAACATGTGGAGGGAGTTTGTAGAGACGGCGGATAGAAACAAGGAGATGGTCACTGCTAAAAAGTTGTTAGAGCATTATAAAGAGGTTTTGGTTAAAGAGACGACGATTGTAGAGGAGATAGTAGACCGGGCGGAGGCACTGAAGACTGAGGAGGTGGTGGATATTAGCCATGGACCGGAGGCTGGATGCCAGGGGCCCCCTAAGAAGGCGTTAGTGCCCGTGGAATCGCTAGGAATCACGCTGCCGACATCACCCAAAGAGATATCGCTGCTCAAGCTCGAGTCATGGCCTAAACAAATCCCGCTGGTGGATTTCTCCCTTCCCCAAGCAGAGAAACAGCCCAAGAGAAATCCATTGTTCAAGGGGGAGCAATCCGCCAAGGCTGAGCCAGTCTTTAAAACCGAATCACTACCTAGAACGCAGTTCCTGTTCACGGCCAAGCCACCGGTCAAAATTGAGCCATTGTGGAAGACTGGGGCCCCGTTCAAGGCAGAACCACTGTTCAAGGCGGAGTCACTGTTTAAGACGGAGTCACTGGTTGAAACGGAGCCGATACCAAAGAACGAACCAGTACGAGGAGAACTGTTGGCTCCGGAGGGGACATCAGTCAAAAAAGAGCTACTGCCCGAACGAATACCGCTACCTCCCTCACCGCTCCTTCAATACATAACATTCACTCAAAATATACTTCCCCCACAAGAGAAAAAGCCAAGTCCAAGCACCGGAACCAAGCAAATCAGTGCAATAGATGTCATCCAAAACACTGACACTAACAGCACTGTTGTCCATACCTCATCCAACCCGAAGGTCAATTCGTCGATTTCATCATCGACACCAGCATCGCTTCCAGCCATAAACTCACCCTCAGCCGCAATCAGTAAAAACCTTCCTCAGACAGATACCCATACTGGTATGGACACCAGCATCACTGCCAACTCCCCGCCTCTCAGCTTCTCAAACCCTTCTTCTGAACCAAATCCTTCGTACTCATCAGTCATATCAGCCTCTCCCAGGCCCCGAGTCGAGCCGGTATCCAATTCTCCGGAGCCACTAGTGACGGAGGTGCTGCTCTCCCTAAGCACTGACGAGCAACAAGAAACAGAGGAGACCCTTACCCCTATCACGCAGCGTCAGCAGATTGTTGAAGGGGTCGAGCAAGCTGAGCCCCGGAATGAGCTTCTTGGATATGACGGACAGACACGGGGAGAAGAGATTAGGTCTCGCGATGTAGATGAAAGCACAGCAACGGAAAGCAAAACGGGGATGCGAGCGGATGAGTGGGACGCCGATGAGACGCTCGTAGAAGTCCAAACACCAAGGTCTTTGGAGAAACCAGACTTGAAGTTCGTCGATGGGCTTTGTAACGAAATTCCTACCGTGAGAGCAAATGGGGCTCGGGAAAGGTTGGACGGACTGAAGATGTCGGTGAGTGAAGTGTCGTTGGTTGTCAAGGGTGTTTTGCAGGCTTGAGTGAAGTTTTTCCCTCTACTACTTCGTTTTTCACTTTTCTTTGTCTGCTCCTTGACTCTAGCTTATGAATCATGGCTACGGCTTGCTACATGTACTTACTGCGAGTTTTGGAGTAATATATTCTACCGAGATTTACTTTGGGATATCCGGTGAGAACGAGCTCATGGAGCCCTATGACATCCCCCATGCCACTGTTACATCTTTCATTGTAAGTATAAAATTTATTGTCCTCTTTAGTACCTGGATTTCATAGATACTGGTATGGCGAGAGGAGCAATGAAGATAGCCCATTTAGCAACATCAAATAATACAGAGAGATGATATCGATGCAAGGGATGCTCAGATTTATTCAACAAGAAGGGAGCAGCGGGTGAATATTCTGGAAGGGCGGACAGACAATTTTGCTGTTATACGTTATGGAGAGTTATGGCCTTCCAGCAGTGCCTATAGAATATTCAGAAACGAGTATAGGCGGATTTGGCCGGCAGCTTTCTCAAGGATGCTAAACGGGAGCCGGTGGCAAAAGAAGACAGGAGTCCGCGTATAACTGTTAATTCATTCTAAGGGCCTATATGCTACTGAACTATAAGACGTTCCTCCGCATTCAGGTGCATCAGACGAACTAGTACATCTCCAATATGCATGGTAAGTTTGTGATCTAAATTATCCCTGTGTATTTATAGTTTGCTACTAATACTTCTGAAATAGGCTCTTTGATATGAGTCGTCATCATACATACCGAATTTACTTAAAATCCCATTAACAGGACCGAAAAAGGTCTTGGGTGGTTGATCATGGTTAAGAACTTTGGGTGGCCCGGGTAAATTAATTATTATGCAATATCCATATGGTACAATACGAAAGAGCTAAGAATCCAAAACCAAGTTCAAAACCAGGGAATTTAACATATACCTACAACGTTGTGCAATACACTGCTTGTCATTGACCACCTTCATTTTCGTACAGTGACAATGGAATCATTAGTATCTTGTGTAGTTGGATAATTGATCACAACACAGACTATGTTGAACCATGAGGCTACTCATCCTATTTAGCCTTTTCAACGTCGTTAACAGTCATATAAGAACATAAGAACCTCCTAGTGTTATCGCGTCGAGAAGCGAACCAGACCAGTATAGTCAGAATCGTTAATGGAATTGCTGTAACCCAATATATCCAGAACTTCCCCGATACAGTCCACGACTGGTTTCCATTACTGGGCGAGTAATCGAAAAATGTCATACCGAATACCGTCTATGTCATCTTAGCCGAGCGGGTTATCATGGACACCCTGATAAGGCTTACTGATGTGAATGTGGCTGGCAAAAATGCCATCGTCAGGATCGCAATCGTTTTCATAGTTGCGCTATCCTTTTTAGCTGCATTTCCGATCTCCAGCATGACTCTACTATCTCGCTGGGTTATCATATTGTACGCCTAGAATGTATTAGTATCCAGTATATCTTACGTTTAATGTAGCCCTACCAAAGTGATTTCATTCTTTAGCCTCGCCTCGTTGGCGTCTGACCGTAATTTCAGATTCTCTAACATTTGTAATTGAAAGTCCATCTCTGCTACCACTGTCGGTATCTGAGTAGTACCCTTCACTACCGTTGAATTCCTGCGGTAATGGCGTTGATGCGTTCTTAAAGTTTGTAATGATAGAGTTGTAACGGAAAGTGTTTCGGACGAGTGGATGGCGTGCCTTGCAAGCTCATGGAGCACAGAGAAGTCGGGTTCAACAACCAATTCCTTCTCCCTATCCTAAGAGGGAGTCAGTTAGAAAATTGTCATTTGAAATGGGCAATACAAACAGCTTCCACTAAACGGATCTGATCTCGAACACGCCAGACAGACCGGTCATACAGAATTAGAGTTTCGTTAAGAATGGGGCTAAGCAATGCAAATGGATCCTGGAAGCAGATCCCTCGAATGTCTCTTGAGAGGGCAGATTCAAGATTACATTGCAAGTCTCTGGGTGCGCCAAAGCATAGAGCAAACGTATGCTTCTGCGTCCACCGTCCGACCAATGTCATCTCAGTCCAAGTATATTGCCGATTCTCGTGAAAACTTTCGTCGATCCATTTTATTAAGCACCGGAACCAAATGGATGCCCATATGTTAGTTAACCGAATTCAGGGTTATAACGACTTATGGCTTACTATACTCCTCGAGACTGCCAGCATCATTCCAAATGCCGTGACACCCCGAGTAGCCATTCGACCGAGTACACATATCTCTACACAAGAGAATTGGAATGCGTAATTCGGGGCCACAGTCCGCAACTGCATCAGTGAAGGAATTCTCATCCAAGAATCTTCTTATTAGCTCACGCTACAATCTGGTATAGTTCAGGAGCGCTCACATGTAACTCTGGGAAGGAAGCGCTGTAATCTGGGTATTATAAGCGGTCTGTAAGTAGCAAGCCATCGAATTTCTATACCGATGAGATGTTGAGGGTAGTCTGTGTTGAGTTCCATGATTCCCCTGCATATAGAATATAGTCAATAAATCTAGGCGTACGTAGAAGATGATTCAATAGCATATATTAAGCGCTCACCTGTATATGTTAACAGCCTTGCAGATGTCATTGACCCAAGAATAAAGCGGCCACTTTACTGACAATCGAACGTTAACTGAGGGAAGAAAAGAAAGATGTGCTCTTTAGAGGCCGTTAATTAAAAACAGTAAGCTTAACGATCTCTACCATGAAAACAATGGAAGCAACATAAACTGTTCTTTTGCGTGGAGTGCATGAGGTGTCTTGCAACGACTGGATACCAGACGGCAAGTGCTTGTATTAATGCAGAGAGATCCGGTCTTGGCGTTCCGACATCTATGGAACTAGATAACTAACTTACCATTCTGTAAGAATAGTTAGTTATAGGTAGCTACGATAGGTTAGATTGGAAGCTGCAGTCACATGGTACACCTGCATCCCTCTATAAAAACGGTCGCTGCCTTCACAGAGTTCTCTCGTCCTCAAGGATCAGTCTCGGTCTCATTCTCTCTGATGATTTTTATCCAGAGCAGCATGGATCTTTAATTCTTTAACTAGTTAGTTATCAATCAAGCATCGCTAGTTACTCCCTTGCTACTCACCTATTCGTATCAAGCTACTCGCCCGTTCTGTGTTGTGACAGTGGCACCCACTGGAGGAAGCGGCAGGGCGATATGAATAAAATTCACAATGCGCAATTCAGTGTTGCAGTACTGGTATATAGTACTCTAAAGATATGCTCGATAAGTACGGAGGTCCATTTCAAAAGTTATTGCTCGCCAAGAAAGGGGCTTGATTTATAAGCCGTTCGAAAGCCGATAGCGCGGGCCCTTGCCTCGAATTAGGCTCTATAAGACCTAAAATAAATGCCCAGTTGATAGGCAGTCCGGTGCCCGTGGCATAGGCTCTCGAAACTGCTTATATAATCACACAACCTCCTTGGCGAGCAATAACTTTTGAAATGGACCTCCGTATTAAGTCTGCTGAACACGGAGAGGAGCGTAACATGAGGCCACCAATAGGAGACGATTCCTTCCTGCGGAGTGCATGGGGTTGAGAATTGAGTCGCATCATTGCTGAACTTTCTAGTTTTTCGGTGTAGGACCAAAGGTTAATCTCCCCGCTTGATCCTGCTGCAGAGGAAACAAACTATCCGTGTCCCATGACCGCCCCACAAGGCCACAACCGGAGGTTGTGGGTGCTCCCACACCAAACGCTCAACCCACACCAAAACCTCAATTTGACTACCATCTTCTATATATTAGAACTCGGGAGGTAAATCGATATAAAAACCGAGATCCTCCGTACTAGTAGGTTGATCGAGTATAGTAGATGGTTCCTGCTGTTTTTCCTGTTGATTTTCCCGCTGCCAGTCCCGCTGTGCCTTCCTAATTACCACCTCCCGCTCCTTCTGACCACGCGCCTCGATATGGCGTTTCGCCTCACTAACGTACAAAGCACCGGTCTGGCTAAGTCCTGTTATAACCTGGCGGCGACTCTTTTTGGTTTGCTGGCGCTGTGTGGCTGAAACAGACCCCTTATAAGCCTCGATCTCTTCGACGCCTTGATTAATGAGTTTGTAGCTTGGCGAACGCGACGTTGGTATTTCCGGCTAGAAAGTAGGGCCTCAGGCGTATTTATGATCTTCTGTTGTTTCCGGCGTACCGTACGAATAGTATTTGGTAGAGATACGCTCGGTGTTGCCGTAATACTTGACGGTGGAGGCGAGCCATTGAATATGTGAAGCTCCTCTACCTCTTGGTCAACCTGTTGCCGAAGGGTTGGCAAAATCTGCTCAGGATCGCATGGCCAAAGGCCCCTCTCTTTAAAAGCGTGTCGAATCGTACGCGATTTGAAGGCGTTTTGGCGGATCTGGGGCATTTCCGTAAGGAATGAGGCCTTGTCCGCTGCGTCGAATCCCCACCGTGAGATATGCGTATTTGTCTGCCGGAAGTAGTGTTTTAACGCAAGAAACGGCTTCCCATC